TGCGATATTGGTAAAAATTGGAGAACTGTAGCAGAGGAAACTGCCGGAGACGGAGCCAGTAGCCTGGTTCCTGTGATCTGGCTTCGACCAATGCACTGCTGGAAGCTCCCGTCCTTGCATCTCTGCTGGTAGGATGGGTTATCGATTTTGTCAACAGAGGCCTGGCTCTCAAGAGCAGAACTCTTCCTTTGCCGCCGGAACAAGCGGCTGGCACAGCACCTCTAATAAAGGGTCTCTTCATCGAAGTGGAATGGAATGCAGGAGGGGAGGGGCTGATGAGAGTGGGCTGGGCAGCACGGGCAACATACCCGGAGGCCACGCAAGGGCATTGTTGGTGGGGAGTTTGTTGAAGATTGGGGGGAAAAAGGCTGCATTTCGATACCACCCAACAGTTTGGGTGTGCGCTTCGATTGTCAATCCCCCGTGTCCGGCGAGGACATCCGTGGCAGAGACTGTAACGGCAAGTTTTGACCCCGCAACATAGACATGCCGCAAGAAGAAATGCAAGAAGAAATGGGAGAGTGGGCGAAGGACCTTTTGAGATTGGCCGGTAGTTGCCGCCACAGTGAAGCAAGCATGGGGCAATCTCCATAGCGGGACCGGGAAAGCAAGTCGAGCATCGCTTATGAGAATGTTTTGTGGTTGGGGGTTGTGCTTACTTCAGATTCTTGGACAAAGCTCATGTTCGCGTCAATGGCTCGCGCTTAGAGGCTTCAAGGCGGGGTGGGATGCATTGACATCAAATCAAGGCGTCAGCTTCTTCCATTTCCTCCTGCTTGCCAGGAAACTTGGCTCGAAACGAAGGTACGTAGGAATACATTGAATAGGCAGAGTTACGAAAGTGTCTGAGAAAGGTGTTGCGCAGAGAAAGAGAGAAGGGGTGTGAGAGAGAGAGAGACTTTGGAAACGTTATCACTTATCAGGGTATCAGCGAGGGGCTTAGCGAGAGGACTCAGTAGAGATGCGAAACGAAGACACCCATGCGGGTTGACGCGGGCAATCCAGTGCTAGCAGCTTTGATCAGATCGACCGACCCACAAGAGCTTTCATCCATCTTCGTTTGACAGCAGCAAAAGGTGCTTTTGGCCTGCTCTTCAGCCATCTCGTGCCATCCCCCCACTGACAAGAGAAGATCAACGAACAAGCAGGAAAAGAAGAGTGGAGATGGTTGGAAGCTCATCGAGAAGATGGGTTAGTCAAGGTAATCCATACACTACCTTGCGTGAAAGTTCGCAATGGGTCGCGTAGTCTGCAATTCCGGAATCTGTAACACTTGCATACAACAACAGGTTCTGTGCTCTTACTGAACTGCATCCAACGCCCGCTGTCGCGCGTTAGGACTTAGGGCGATCTCCTGGCCGCTTCACCCCGCAAGAGCGAGCTGAGCCGACTTGGGGCGATCAAGGCGAGGAGTGCAGCGGAAATTGGGGAAGAGAACCAAGTATGGGTACCTCTCAGCCTTACCATACCCCGCGCGATGCTATGGTGATCTTGTACATCGACTTCGTCTCCATACCATAATCCACCAGCGGGCATGGTCCTGTGTCTTGAAAATTTTGCTTTTTGGGGACCGGACCCGGCCTGGGAACGGGGCTTCAGCCCAATGCCGTTTCCCCGTGGCTCTTGTAGTCAACCTCAAGCGATCCGTTGCCATGTGCCGAGAGAACGGACATAGAACCTTTGCTGCGCTAGCCGTGTAATACAACGACCCTTTTGGCGAATCTTTTTCCATGTACAAAACAAAAACTCTGAACCGCAACAACTGATTGGGTGTGGCGTTATCGCCTGCCCCGATCTGCTGCTCTGTCCTTTGCTGCCCGAGAGCAGCTCCACTGGTCCAACAGAAGAGCAGATGGGAAGGTGCGGTGTGCTAGGGGCCCGCGCTCATATCAGAGAGAGAGGCAGGCGCTTTCACCACCAAGGGCAGGAACCCGAAGGAGCAGTTACCTTTAGGTAGTGATGCCACCCGCGTCTACCCACAGAGGGCCCTGCCCAACGTGGGTTAACGAGAAGGATGCGAGAGAGACGTACAGACCATGATGGGTCCATATTTGGTCAGAGCAGTTTCAGCTCCCAAAAAGAGAAGCCTGGGCGGAGCAGAGTGATGATGACAGGCGGTGATGACGATGATAGCGTCATGCTGTGCCTGGACGGTGTGAGCTGAGCAGCGAGGATGTGCGACGTCCGCGACATCCATGGAAACACTGAAGGCAGGCTGCAGAGCGGTCGCCCGTCGCCTTCCGGGGCCAGGTAGGTTCATGGAAAACAATCGAGCATCTGTAGATGCAGTGTAGAAAAGAAGCTTGACATCCATCCCTTGAATTTTCCTCTTGCCAAGGAAAAAGACGGTGTCTTGGCACGGGCTGTGTGGGAGTGTGGGCGTGTGGGCGTGTGTGGATATGTTGGTAGTGGAGGGTGGACCCGTTTAGCGCTTACACCCCCATGCCCAGCAAACCAAAAGGGCGTCTTGTGAGCAGCTCCACATCTGCCAGCCCATGTGCCTGCTCTGTATGTATGGTAATTGTACGGTGTATTCCGTAGTCGGAAACCGTATTGACCGCCATCCACAGTGCACAATACGAAAACCATACATATGACATAATTTTCGCAAATCTGTGCCTGGCCCTGGATGATTGTGCTCTCCTTCCCCAGACCAGGTTCTTTGCTCTGTCGCGAACTGTGTCTGCCAGCGTCTTGAACGTTCCAGTCGGTCACTCAAGTTTAGAGGAGCAAACCGCCCTTGTCCCGGCAATGCCTCCTGCAGTGCTTTCACCGTCCAACAAGGTCTTGCACACAATTAATTTCCGTGGACTGCGCTCAGGAACATAGCAAGAGGCAAGATTGCTTGCAAGCAAAGAGACACACGGGCCTGCCCGCCGCCTGCCTGCCCTGACCTCCACGCAGACCGCCCTCCACAAAGCACACAACTTAAGTGATCATCATCCTGGCAATTCCACCTCGGTGGACACATGAGTCACAGACTGTAGATGCAGTCAAGACACGTTTGATATCAAGCTTCACCTGTTCTTCTCTCGGACGAGACTGTGACCCCGGGATCCTACACGACACACTGCAACAGCGTGCTAGGCACCTCGGCGCCGACATAGTTGACATCACACTTCCTTAATTGCAGCAACTGCCACAAGCTGCATTGGCCATTCATCATTGATCTCGACGCCAGCTACTGATTCGCCCAGGTTCTGTGAACCTGCAGCGGCACTTCGACGTTTTCTTCACCCGGTCTTTTACGGCACTCCCAGCTCTGTTGTTCCTTTATTCCAGGCAAGAAGAGTGCTGGAGTCACTAGGTATCTCGTTGGTCCTGCCGCCGGCAAGTGATCTCTACAGTTCAAGGCAGGCTGCGCCAGCCTTGAACGACCTGAGCTGCAGACGACACTGCACATCGCCACACCCTTACCCCTGGCACAAGGCTATTCTTCTCTTAGACTCTCGCCGTTATTGTCTCAGGAAAGATTCAAGCAGCACAAGAAGCGAGGACCGACTGGACAGCATCATTCCCACACGTTCATCTCCATTCTCTATTATCCAATCCTGCGACAACAAACAGCACGGCAACGGCAACGGCAGCGTTACCCTGAACCTTTCAGTGATACTGACACTGTTTGGCTCCCGCCTTACCTTGCCGCTCTGCCGCACTGTCCCGTTCCCTGCAAGCAGTGTGCGGTGTCCCAGTCGAGGGTAACTCCAAACGTGGCCGCCTGGGTGGCCCCCAGTCCAGGACCCCCGGACACGGAGACACGGCCATCCATACGGCAACGGCATTGGCCGGCGACCGCCGGTACCCAACCCACAAGACCCCCTGCCCGGCCGGTTCCAAGACCGCACCTCGGAGCCCGCCCAACGATAGTAACGACATCCCGCTGTTGCCCCTGTTTCTTCCCCTCCCACGCTCGCAGCCTGCAGCATATTTCGCACGAAACATTGAGCCAAACGACGAAACGCCATCGCTGAGATCGAAACCTCGAAGCTCTTATCGGCTGCATTCTAGCTTCCTTTTGTCCTGCCGGCCGTACACCGTCTGATCAGGATCTTGGAATCGAACGGTTTTCCCGTTTCCGATTCTCTTGTCGGTTTCCTCTTTTCCCGTTTCGGGTGTGCCACTGGTTGCTGCGCACCCTGGTCTTGTTTCTTTGTTTTCTGTGGATCGGCAAGGCCTCGCAAACTCGCAGGGCTTGCAGGACTCTCCCAGTGTCCTCGGCGCCTTGATCACACACCCTGTCCTCCACGCCCCTCCACCCATCCCCAAACCAGCACCCTAGAAGGTACCCTAATCAGTCACTTGCATACGGTCTGCCACATCATCATCCTGCCGTGGGCGACACGGGCAACCACATTCAGCAAGTCTCAGCATTGGCTGCTCCCGAGTCGTCGGCGCTGTCGCACACACTTACATACATTACCTACATACGCACGTCCACAAACGCCCACTTACCACTTACATGCTGGTACCTGACCTTAGTCTCGTACCTGTACCCGCGCTTACAACACCCTAAGACAACCTCACTGCACGAACACGACACACGACACTGGTCAGCGATTTTGGCATGCGCCTCGCAGCTTGTTGTCTGCTGTCTAACTGATTGACTGTCTCCCCGTCTGTCTGTCGGTTGCTGATCGCCCTTCAACCTGGTGGTGGCCACACACATCAGTTGACCCGCATTTTCAAAGACGCAACGATTGACCGACTCGTCAAGCTCGCACAATAATACATCCCAGACACACAAAACCTCTGCTTATAAATCCCCCCACATTCCTCGCGACCACATTACATTGGATCTTGAAGCCCTCAAACCAGTGCCCGAAAAATGAGGCGAAAAGGGCTTGGTCCTATATAGTCTCTCTTATACTTCCTTTGTTCTCATTGCAGTCGTGGCTTCGCACTCTTATTGCAGCCCTGACTCGTTTGAGCAGCTGGCCGGCTAAGTCCTCTCACGCGGCTCTTGCATTTCGGGTACACCATTCTCAAAGTTACTCAGCAACATGACAGCTTCTTCGGATCCCTCTACACATAACACGTCCTCCGCGCCCTCAGGCATGGCGCGCGAGACAGGCCAGGGGCGACGCCCTCGCCCTAGTCATGTCAAGACTGACCTTGAACCCCAACCCCAGCTGGCCGGTCTCCCTGCATCAGCGGCCAGCGCTTCATCATCCGTGTCGCCAGCTTCGCAGCATGCATCTCCGACCCAGTCGATAGCAACAATTGGGACCGGTGCAACCGCCGGTAGCTCCGTTCAACCTTCGCCTGCATCTTTAGAGCCGTGCTTTGAGATCGAGATGGAAGAGCTCGATTTCTCCTTTTCGGCATTCCAGCTCCCAGAACCACTCACACGTCAACCCGATGAAAGCGCCTCTCAGCTCTCGCGGAGAACTAGCACGACTTCGCTTGGCCAGGGCAGCCTGAAGACTCCTCCTCCCACCAGCGGGCTGACAACAGAAGGCAACAAAGTCGCCAGCGTTGTCCGCCGCGCCTCCACAGTGGTGAAAAACACTACAACCAAGGCACTCGGCATCCTCAACCGGCGGCCGTCACAGTCTCAACCCCGGAGTCGGGATACCAGCGTGGGGCCCGGCGTCTTGCGCAGGAGGGGAAGTACAAGCAACCCTACCACTCCCCTTGATGCTGCGAGCCCCTTTGATACCGAATCTGAGGATGATGTCCCTGGCAGTACTGGTGACCTGCGATATCGCGACGATGGGAGCATGTCTCTCGAGTTCGGGTTGATCCCGCTGGTCCTTCGCCAGGGTATGCCCATGGAGAAACTGCGCATCAAGCGAGGCAACCTGAAGCCCATCACCCTCTACATCGATCCCGACGCGGCAAAGATCTGGTGGGACCGGCCACATCGTTCACCCAGATTTATCTACATCGATGACATCGCCGAGATCCGCATTGCCGAGGACACTCGCCAGTACCGGCTTGACGCCAACCTCCCCGATTCTTACGAGTCGCGCTGGTTTACGCTGAAGCTCCGACTCCCCGACAAGCAAGGTGATAAATTTGTGCACCTCATTGCACCAACCGAGGCGGCCTGCGAGCAATGGGTTCAGGCGCTTGAGACCATTTCTAAGCACCGTCAAGACTTTGCGGTTAGCCTTATGTCTCTGAACGACAAAGCCGTCCAGGCCTACTGGGAAAAAGAGATGAACCGGACACTAGGCAAGCAGCACGATCAAGATGACGAGCACATAGATTTCGCTGGCGTCGAGCGTGTTTGCCGCAGCCTTCACATCCACATTTCCGGTGAAAAACTACGCAGAATTTTCGACACTGTTGCGGAAATGTCCTCAAGTTGGGACGACCTTCACTCGTGCCGTGGCAGTGATTTCCGTCTGGACTTCAGGGGATTCCAGGAGTTCGTTAAGCTCTTAAAGACTCGGGAGGACATCCGGCGCGTGTTCCAGGAACACACCAAGGACCCAGAGGCTGGTATGACCAAGGCCGAGTTTCTGCGGTTCTTGCGTGAGGTCCAGCGCGAAGATGTTGACGCCGGACTGGCGGACTGGGAGGCTGTCTTCGCGCGCTTCGCTCGACGGGGACGGAGCAAGGACGTGTCAAAGCAGCAGCCGGCAATTGCAGCGGGTATGACGGGCGTGGGTGCTGCTGGGGGGGACATCTGCGTGGCCAGCGACGAGCTGACCATGTCTGAGGCCGCCTTCGCCAGCTTCCTCACGTCCACTTCGAACGAGGTGATCCCGAAGGAGCCTCAGCAGTATGTGCTGGACCGCCCATTCAACGAGTACTACATTTCGAGCTCTCACAACACGTACCTGCTGGGACGGCAAGTCAAGGGGGTCTCTAGCGTTGAGGGTTACATCTCGGCTCTTATGAGGGGCTGCCGCTGCGTCGAAGTGGACTGCTGGGATGGTCCAGCAGGTGAGCCTGTGGTGACGCATGGCCGGTCGATGACCAACTCGATCTCGTTTGAGGTGGTCATACAGACCATCAATAAATACGCGTTCGTCAAGTCGCGGTTCCCTTTGTGGATCTCGCTCGAGGTTCGCTGCGGTGTCACAACGCAGGCCAAGATGGCCGAAATCATGATCCGGATCTTTGGCGAGCGGCTCGTTCGCGCACCCCTGGATCCCACGTCGGATCGCCTTCCGTCTCCGTCGGAGCTGATGGAGCGCATCCTTATTAAGGTCAAGAAGTCGGACGAATCGCTGCGGAATGCTGGAGAGAGGGTTGGCCGCCGGCGCGGAAACAGTATGCCATCTCCCTACACACGGGCAGTCCAGCCTTCGGATGGCACTGGAACCGCCCCTCCTAGCCCCCTCCTGTCGGGGTCGATGTCTGGCACACGGTCGAATCGGGCCATCAACACGATCACCGAAGGGATCGTTCATGAGGCGCATAGCTGCGGTGCTAGTGAGTGCGACAGCGACAGTGATCGAGACTCGGTCAAGAAACCCACCACCAAAATCAACCCCATCCTGGGTGACTTGGGAGTCTACTGCTCGGGTATCCACTTCAATGGCTTTGACAGTCCCGAGGCAAAGACCTTCAATCACATCTTCTCATTCAAGGAGAGCACTTTTGCCGCGAAGAGCCAGCCGAGCTCGGCCAAGCGGGCGTTGTACCGTCACAACATGCGTTACTTGATGCGTGTGTACCCCAATGCGACCCGGCTGAATTCGAGCAACTTCGATCCTCTCGTTTACTGGAAGAGAGGCGTTCAGATGGCTGCGCTCAATTGGCAGACCTTTGACCTCGGTATGCAGATCAACCAGGCCATGTTTGATGGTGGCACAGCTGCCTCGGGTTACGTCCTCAAGCCGTTGGAGGGGCGCCAGATCAAGGTGATGCCCAGCCTTTCTCCTGATGAATGCATCGGCAAGCGTCCTCGCAAGAAGATCAGCTTCGAGATCGAGATTATCTCTGCGCAGCAGCTCATGCGGCCCAGCAATAAGAAGACAATGGACCCGTACGTCGAGGTTGAGGTCTTCCTGGCGGACGACAAACGCAACAAAGCCGATGCAGCGATGGTGATGCAGAACTCACCTCTACGGCAACGCACACACATCGAGCGCGACAATGGCTTCAACCCTGAGTTTCGTGAGACATTCCGTTTCGACGTGACGACCAAGTACCCGGACTTGATCTTTGTGCGCTGGAGCGTCAAGCTGGCCGATCGCAGCTACAGCGACAAGAATGTGCTGGCGACGTACACGGCCAAGCTGAGCAATCTCAAGCAAGGCTACCGCACGATCCCGTTGCTGGACCAGAATGGCGATCGCTTCATGTTCTCGACACTGTTTTGTCGGATCAAGAAGGGCCAGTTCATGGATGTTATGGTCGACTACCAGGAGGATGGCCCGCGCAACAGCAGCAAGTTTATGAATATTGGCCGGACGGTGTTCAGCCAGTCCACCTCGAGCCCTAAGTCTAGTATGGATAGCGGCCGGGCCTGACTGCTGGGGGACTTGCATGGTTGATCACCGACTGGCTCTCCTCTTGTTCCCTTGTTCATCTTTACCCCCATTCTCCTCCTCTCTGTTTCAACTTCAGAAGGGTTTCTTATTTCCTAGGGTCCCCACTGCAGGGCATCAAGAGAGTGGATCTCGATTCGATTCCAAAATGTGTTTCTATTCTCTTGTTCACCACCATCACTGTCTCATGTCGGAAACCATGTCCTGACGATATCTTTTCTGGTATGGGAGAAGCTGATGGAAAGATGTCTGAGTAGGGTTGGCTGATGAGTAATTGATGGAACGAGGTGGGCGGCTTGGTTGGGTTGGTTGGGTTGGTCAGATCAAGGGGTTTCTATGATACCACACTCACACATTTCTCTTTCACTGATGATGATTGATGATATCAGCATTTTGTTTTAGTTTTTCCTGCCCTTGCCTTTTTGGTTTTGTTTCCGTTGTCTTTCAAGGTCTCATTCACAACATTAGCGGGCAGGGGCTGGGTCGGGTCTTGGCGTGAACCCTTGGAATTGTTCTCACTCTCAGCATCATCGATCAATTGCATGTATGTGGAAACCATGACAAACAATTGGGGGTTAGGGGTTCTTCACTATGGGGTCTCTCTGGTCTCTGGTCTGATCCTGGTTTCTGGTACTGGCTCATCATCGTATCATATAGACGGGCGTAAAACAAGGAAACGGTGGTTCTCTCTTAACACATAAAATGGAGGAAGTCATTGGCATTTTTAACAGGCAGGTGGGAACAATGGAAGATGGGATGGTGAATAACAGGTCTTCACAATGTGGTATTGTTTTCTTTTTCTTCCCTCTGTAGTTCATGGAGGTTGGCTTCTGGATTCGGGTGTTAAGTGTTGTTTATGATGATGAACAATGATTTATTGCAACTTCACTGGTTGCAGATCGTCCTGGCAGAGAATGAGTCGAATCAAACTTGCAGTCAGCATTAAGAAAGTCCATGTTATTAGAAACTGCAAGGTTCTTTTATGAAAGAGTGATCGAAGACAAGTTGACCATCCGAACCGTCAAAAAAAGTCCTATCGATCAGGTTCCATCCTATCTCATGCGGCGTTGCATCATATCGGGTACGGTACCCATAACCCAACACGCGGTGCTGCCTGCCCGCGATTCACACCAGAATCCGGTCGATGACCTAGGCTGAATATCTCATGTCCCAGCCAGTGCAGAGTAAATCTTGCATGTGGCACGTTGATCTGGATGTCAGGCTCAAAGATTAGTTTGCCGTTTGGGAGGGCGTTGCATGCATGATGTCTTTGATAGTGGCGTTGAAACTTCATCAAAAGGTCTCTTAATGAAGCATATCTGGGCCAGACCATACAGTCCATGTGATGTTAGGTAAGTAGGTACTTTTTTTATAAAAAAAGTCATGGATTCTCAACACATGATGATACATGTTACTCCATACCATGAAACAGAAAATACATGCAGTCAGTCATAACACTATATGCTACGTATGTATCTCATCTACATCGGTAGCTAATAACCCGTAGACAGGAAGGCAGGTACCTACCTACCTTTGGTATCCAGAACCAAGCCAGGCCAAAATAACAGACTACCATTTAAAACACAAGTATCGAAAAAAAAAAACCCCAACTCCACCCTATATGTACTCAATCAATCAAGTTCGTCGTCATCATCAACCCCCTTGTTCCCATTTGAAGGGGTCGAACTTCTGCTATTACTATTACTCACGCCCGGAAACCCCATGGGTGACAAGGGGCTATTCGGCGTCGGGCCCCGGAACAGTTTACTCGCTGCCGTGGCCGTACCAGCAGGCGACCATCTCGGGGCGGTGGGTATTGTCGGGCCGTTGCTGTGGGAGGTGTTGGTGACCAAACTTAGGGGTTGCCTGCTTGCTGTGGCGGGTTTTGGTGGTGGCTGAGATTGCGACGACTGTTGAGGTTTCTCTTCCTCGCCGTCGCTCAACCCATCGATCTCCTCCAGCTCTTCCTCAATCGTCCTCCCGCCCGGACTCAATCTCCTCATGGCTAACACCTCCTCTCTCTTCTTCTGCAACCGCTTATTATGCCCCGCGACAACCCCGACATCTGCATACAAGTTCGGGTCCCGTCCTAACACCCGATCCGCCTTGGTCGGTGTCTTCCCTCCTTCCCTTGGCTGGGGGGTCCCATATCCCCCCACAGCCTCCTCCTCATCATACCCCCAGCCGGCTCTCCTCTCCCGTTCGATTTGCTCCATCCTCTCTCTCGCAATCCTCTCCCTAGCCTCCAGCCACCTAGGATTCGGCTCCCACGTCCACCCATCGCCCGTCGTATTACAGATCGGCAGCATCCACAACCACGGGTTAGGTCCCATCAAGTGCAACAGGTTTTTCTTCACGCCCAAATCGAACGCGTTCGGCAGTTTCGACGAGTCCTGCTCGTCCAGATAGTCCAGGTATCGTTGCCGTGCGCGCTGACGCTCCATTTCGTCGGGGGTATAACGGCACGTGCCGGCTTGGTACTGCGGACCACGGGTGACGTCGGCATAGGGCATGCTGTTGAAGCCCACTCCTCTTGGCGAGGGGTCCGGGCGGAGTTCCTCGCCTTCTTCGGGACGGGTGATTCCAGGGAGGGCGTTCCGGTGAATTTCGAGGAGTTGTTGGCCGTAGGAGGGGGGCGGGACGGCGTTGGCGTTGCCGTTGCCGGGGGCATGGGAGGAGCGAAAGGCGTTGTGCATTGATTCGCGGAAAGGAGAGAGGTAGCGTGTGCGCTCGAGGCATTCGATGGTGGTTTGGCCCTTGGCGGCCAGGTAGATGTGCCAGGAGGTGAAGGAACCCAAGACGACGCCGATGATTCCGGCGATGATACAGAGCATTATGTACATGACGGGCATGAACTCGTCGACGTAAGTGGTGTTGGTGTCGAAGATCTCCTTCCATACCCAGGACCCGGAGGCGCAGAAGCAGTAGATGCTGAAGGCGGTAGTGTAGATGAGGAAGAGCAGGAAGGGCTTGTGGTTGCGCAAGCCGACGCAGGTGGCCAACCAGGGGCAGTGGTGGTCCATCTTGAGTACGCAGCGCCGGCAGGTTGAGCAGTGGTGTGCGCGGTCCGGCTTGCGGGCCTGGCACTTTTTGCAGAAGCGCATCTGTCCGTTGCTCTTGACCGTGAAGGAAGTCATGTTTGGGGGGGCGGTCGTGGGGAGCGTGCTGTAGCCGTACTCGTTGGTCGTGCTACCGGGGGGGGTGAAGACGGCGGTGGTATAGCACCAGTTGGACATGAGGTACAGCACGATGCCGGCCACGGCGGCGGGGGTGCCTACACATACACATACTGTCAGAACTACGTGATTTCCACAAAATATTTCTTCGAGACATACCCAGCCATTCGACGCGCGACGGCGTCGAGCACAGCTTCACCAGCACCCAGGCGGCCCATGTGGTCAGGGAGTAGACGAATGCGAGGGGAAAGTAGCGGGCACATGCACAGCACGTGCGCTCCAGGCGCCGGGCCCAGCGGCGCGGTGAGCGCATGTCGTCGTCCGTAGAGTCAAAATGGAGAGGACTGGGCGGTCTTGTCGAGGGATCCAGGGTCAGCGGATCGAGCGGCGGGCGCGAGTCGAGGGGGTACAGCGGGCTGGCGGAGGCGGGATTCGGCGAGGGCGAGGGCGAGGGCGAGAGCGAGCGAGAGGAAGTGTTGTTCGTTATTATGTCCATCGAACGGCGTACAAGTCGGGATCGGTTCGTGGAACGCTATGGAACCACAATACTCGCCGTACAAACGGCCATGGGAGTGTTGGGGTTAGTGTGGGCGTCGTGGTGTTGGGGAGGAAAGAAAAAAGGCAGAAACTGGAGGAGCCTTCATCAGCAGCGCCAAGCATCGGCGGGCCGGGCTCGGGGCTTCTGGGCTGGGGTCCGCTGGGTGGGTCGCGATCTCGAACCACAAATGCAGGGGGCTGAAGCCGGGCTGAGCCATCCCACTCAGCCTTACTTTTTGTCCAATCACGGGTCTCACAGATGTGGTCTGCGTGAGAGCTCGGGCCACAGGAGCCACAGCGGTCAGGGGCTGCTTCATGGGTCAGGGTCCCACATGGGATTTGGGGGATGCGATTTTCATATCTCAGCTTTTCAGCTTCTCTCCCATCCCAACGGACTGGACAAAGAAAGAAAAAAAATAAAGGTGAGAAAAGCTACCATCAGCTGGATCTGGATCTTGCATCGCGAAATCAAGCTGCAAACTGTCAGAGTCGGAGAAGTTGCTGGTAGCTGATCGAAGGGGCGGGCCGTCTCACATTCATGGAAGTGATGAAGTGAGCCGTTGAATTGATTTGACAAAAGGGGCGAAGAATGAGTAGAGAATGAATTGATGTGGATGAATGAGGTCATGGCCATTGTCGCAATCATGCCATTGATGTCGGCGAGGCTTGGACCATCTTGTGAGTGTTCCTCCTTTCAGCCGCGCCAACACCGATGAAACTACGTCTTTAATCTGGAATGCTCTAGTGTTCTTTTTTTTTCTTATAAAAAATTCCCGTTTTGCACAGGTCACGCGTTGCATCTGTCGCCTGTCGCGTCGCCTTTCCGTGTTCCGCGTTTGTTCGTTTGTTCCCTTCCTGTTGTGGCAAGCGAACGGAAGCGCAGAAGTGCAGAACCCAGAAACGCCAACTTGTCCTTCAGCCGTGCCAAAAGCAACGTCAGCGTCAACGTTAACGTCATCGCCATTGTCTCCTTCAACAACAACAAACCATTCCTATTCCTATTCCCTCGCCAACCGCGCTAACCGCATCTTCCTGCACTGGCACTCATAATCCTACGATTTCCAGAAAATTATCGAGACTCCTACGCCATGGCGACCACAGCCCCCAGACAATTCAATTCAAAATCCCCCACCATCCGTCGCATCCGTAAGATTCCCTTCCCTTCAACCCCCCCTCCCCCCTCCCCGGGCCAACACACACAGAGTCACCATTCCAAGCTAACCCCAACAACAGTCCGCGAGGCCCACGAACTCGCCACCTCCCCCTCACCCGACTACCACGCCTCACCCCTCGAAACTGACCTCTTCGAATGGCACTTCACCCTCCGCGGCCCCCCCAACTCTCCGTTCGAAGAAGGCATCTACCATGGCCGCATCTCCCTCCCGCCCACCTACCCTTACCGCCCGCCCTCCTTCCGCTTTTTAACTCCATCCGGCCGCTTTGAAACCAACCGTGAGATATGCCTCAGCATTTCAGGACATCACGAAGAGACATGGCAGCCGGCGTGGGGCGTGCGTACGGCGTTGGTCGCGTTGCGGAGTTTCATGGAGACGGATGCGAAGGGGCAGTTGGGCGGGTTGGAGGCTGGGGAAGAAGTCAGGAGGAGGTTAGCGAAAGAGAGCAGGACGTGGCGGTGTGGGGTTTGTGGTGGGGGAAAGACGAACGGGGAGATTTTAGAGGAGTGGGAAGAGAAAGTCAGAGAGTTGGAGAAAGAAGGGAAGGGGGCAGTGAAAGAGGAGAAGGTGCCGGAGGAGTTGAGGTTAGCGTGGAGAGATGAGCTAGTGGGAGGGAAAAAAGGGGGGGATAAGGATGGGGAGAGTGATGGGGAGAGTGCGCGGTTGGCAGAGGGCTTTGTGCAGACTGCGCCGGCGGAGAAGGAGACGACGGCGATCGCTGCGCAACCAGCGACAGGTGGGCCACCTCGAGCTCAGACGACCAGCAGTAGCACTGCGCCGGTCACGACACAACCAGAGACGAGACCATTGCCAGTCCAAACCCAACCGCAACCACAACAGCAACTCGCCATGCAGCAGCCGCGAGCCGACGAAGATAATGTCACCCTCTGGCTCGACCGCCTGATTGTTGCCGTTGCTGTTCTGCTAGTTGCCGTCATCCTCAAGGTCCTGCTGGGCTGACGTGACCTTCATCCTTTCCCGTTCGCTCTCTTGTCCTCGTTGAGCATGGAGTTTGGCGTTTGGGTACTCTAGTCTCGTCCGGTTCCCCTTCATTTCAACCATTTTGTTGTGATTCATCCTAGAGAGCTCCTAAGTATATCCCGGTATGATGGCATGATTAGAAGTCATGTGTATTAAAGCAAGCATGAAATATTCGTAACGTACAGATTCACCTGTTGAACAGCGTAAAGGCTTCAGAGCAATCATGATGCGCATTTTTTTTTGTGTGTGTGTGTGTGTGTATGTTCCTAACTCCTGTCTAACGCCAATTGCTGATGGATGCTACCTGCCTAAGTCCTGCTCCCTGGTATCGTCGCTAGTGCGTGCTCCAATTTCTATGCTTACACACGAAACCGCCCATCCCATGGTGTCCAATCCGTTAAAATCCCAATTCACACACCAAAACTTCACCCTCAACTACCTACCTACCTATTCACTCTCAAGCATTCCCTCCCACTCCTATCCCATCAACCCCTCCCTCTGCGCCTCCACAACAACCCACCACCACTCCCTGACCCCCGCGGCAAGCCCATCCATCTGGCTCCCTACAACCCCCAAGCGCTGACACCACTCCAGAATCATCTCCGCTTCAAACAACATAATCACCGGCTTCAATGTCTTGACCAGCTCCTGCGCCCCCATCGATCCTCGTGACGCCAACGTGATGAGCACAGCACTAAGGTACTTCAGCCAGCGTTCGGCGTCGACCTTATTGAACACATCGCACCAGACCGGTATAGTCCCGTTGGGGCCCTGGGTCGGAGGCGGGGTAGCGCGGATACGTGCTCGCAGAGCGGCCAAGTCATCAGGTTCGTCAGGGTTTGTGGGGGAATCGTAGAGGTAGGTCTCGGTGGGCACGACGTCGAGCCGGAAGTGGAGGTATTTCTTGGTGTACTTGCGCGTCTCGTAGTTGCCTGGTTCATGGCCCATGGGCACCTTAGGCTGACCCGTCGTCTCGATGCGGACGCGTCCGTGGGCTTGCATGTTGAGCAGGGCCATAATCATCCCGTCGTTGGTGATATACGTTACGCGCTTCGTTTCACCAGCGCGGAAAGCGGCGTCGAGCTCGCGCTTAAACTGAGCTGCTTTGACGAACTTTTCTTGCTGGGCGTGCTTCTCGAGTGTGTCCAGCACGCGGGTGTTGAAACGCCAGCGTCGGCCGTTGGACCATTTCGAGGACGACTTGGAGATGACGCCGTCACGTTGGAGGGCGTCGACACCCTTCATGATTAGCTCGGTGATCTCTGTCTTACTGTACTGCGGGAAGAGGCTGTTGCGCCGGTGGAGGACCATCTCAGCGGAATAGGCCTCGACAGGGGTCACGCAGAGTGAACGTGTCCAGGCCATCGCGACAATCATGTCGGTGCTTAAGCCTGTGTAGCGGCCGCGGTCGCAGTCGCGTACATCGTCGTCGACGGGGAGTGCCAGCGCCTCAGAAGTTGCGTCCTGAAACTTGTTGAAGATGGAGCGCTGAGGATGGAAGAAGGCTTCACGCCACTCGCGGTTGCCGTGCTCGAACTTAGCCACGCGGAAGTGCTTGTCGAGTTCCTCACGGGAAGCGGGTAGCTCGCGTCTTTCTATGCCGTCGAGCTGTGTGGTCCACTTGATAAGGCCCTTCCAGTCGTACGCGAGCACGTTATTGTAATCCAGCGGTGGGAGCTCGCCATTTTCGTACGCCCTAAGGAACGCAACCCGAAACTTCTCCGTCAGGCTCACAATCGTCGACATGCGATCCTTCTTCAGACTGCACCAGTAGTGCCGAAGTTGGCTAATCGTCTGATCTGGCATCAGCCTCAGCATTAAGCCCCAGTCCACAACCCGATCAACACCGCCCAGCAGCGTGGTAACCACGATGAACGCCGCCAGCCGGACGTTCTCGCTCGCCCAGTTAAGATCTTCCTCTTCTTCGCCAGGATGCCGCAGAAAGTCGTCTGGTGTCCGGGGGTACGCCGTGAGCTCCCGCATCGTCTTGATCGCCTGCAGCTTGAGCTTAGGCGGTCGGCCCATAGCACGGCGCGGCTGCGTAGAAGTCGACTCCTTGGGTGCGTGCTGCTGTTGTTGTATCTTGCGACGCTTGTGTGGCACGTCGCCTAGGAGTCGGCCTGTCCCTTTACCTGGTGGGAAATCCACGTAGTTCACATCGAGATAGTCGTCCTCTTCCAGATCATCGTACGGAACGGTCTCGAGGTCGAATTGAGTGTCATCTGACCACTTGAGGTCGACAGGGCGCATGTTGTAGCGGGATGGGTGAGGGGAGACGTTGATGAAGGTGGTGCCCGGCACAATGGCCAGCCCCGATAGGATGGCTTCTCCCTCGGGGGACTGTTCCCAGGCTGCGACTTGGTTGACGAGGGAGCAGAACTTGGCGTACTTCCTGTCCACCCAGTCTTGCGGCCGGATCCTGGCGGCCTTTTGCTTTTCTGCCATTTCGGCCGCGCTCGTCGGTACATTCTCAGCCAGAAGCTGCTGTCGATCTGGCATCCAGCATTCGATGGTGAAGCTGGCGTCGTGCTGTTCGAAGAAGTCTGCTTCGAGAGATGGCCATGCGCCCTGGTAACCGTGTAGGATCGATGGCTCAACAAACGTAAACTCTTTGGGCTTCTTAGCCCCCTCGGGTGTGGCATCAGCATTCTCCATCGTAACATCCAAATCCTCCACAGCTTCATCCTCATCATCGGTCTCGGCGCCATCAAAAAGGCCCGTATTAGGTTCCAAGAACTTGACGACCGGAATGTCCCAAGCCCTAGCGCTGCCGATAGATGTCCAGAAATCGCCAGGCAGGCTCGCAAGTCCCGGATTCCTGATCCTTCCCACCTCGCGAGGGACTTTAGTCAATGTCTCAGGTGTAGAATTGGTCTTCCGACGCCCTCCCATTCGCGCAGGTAGCAGACTATACACCCTGATCGCGTCAACGAGAGAGGTTGGCCCAGTCCCGTTGCCGCTGAAAGAGCCATTTTGGCCCTGCTGAACACCGTTCTGCGCAGGCGTTTCACGTTCCCCCTGGACAGACGACGTTGAACCAGCGCTGAGGGTCAAAATAGTAGGATCAACAGGGATCTCACATGAAGCGCTCTGTGACGCCGGTGCTGAAGGAATGCCAAAACTCTCCTGCGCCGAGACATTGACCTTCTTCTGTGGCGACGTCTCCGCGCCCTCTTCAACCGGCCGCTTCCTTGGCCTGCCTGGGCCCCTACCCGCATAGGGGAACTCGCTATCCTCCCGGAACCAGAGGGGATCCCGCTTGACCTCCATCGTCTCGGCATTCTGCGTGTAGTAAGGCGCATTGAACACCTCGACCTCGTCATACTTACGCCGGCTGCGGAACTTTTGCCCATTGGCGTTCGGCTTGGTTTCAATCGGCTGTGGCATGGGTTTCTTGTCGAGCTCTTGAAGAAGTGCCAACTCCTCTTGGGTTGGCGAGAAGGCAGGAGGGATAAAAATGCTCGGATAAGCCTCACGCATTTTCTGCTTCATGATAGCCGGGACCACACCGTTGGGATCGACGCCGCTGCGGATGAGCAGTGTGCAGGTCTGCAATTTGCCTCGCTCGGTACGCAGCATATGGGTATGAACTGTGGCCAGCTTGCGTGACTCGATTGCTCGAACAGCGCTTAAGAAATTTTTCCAGCTGGGCGGCACCTGGCCCCGGAACTCTTGCAGGAAGACCTTAGTGACCGCGTAGTAGAGAGCCTTTTCGCCGGGGAAGACGCCGCAGTTGTTGTCGAGGAGGTAGTTGATGATGTCGAACGCCTGGGCTGTTCTCTTCTTTGCGTCAGTCGCCAGGCGGTCGTAGCTTGAGGGGATGAATGGCTTGATGCGGCTGGTTTCTTCGGGCTTGTTGGTTGCTGCCTCGGTTTGTGCTGCTGTGAACTGAGCAGTTTCTTCGGCGGTTGAGTAGGAAGGCGGTTCAGGATAGGATTGCGAAACACTCGATACAGAAGCAGCTATGCCTCGGTCGATTGGGCTCTGCTGCGTATTGTCGGACGGGGCTCGGGCGATCTCCACTGGGGCAAGTCCTTGAGCTGTGGCTGAATGGTCCAAGGTATCTGGGGGGGTTGAGGGTGCTGTCGGAAGTGAAGCAGAGACAATATGTGCTTGTGCTTGCTCCGGAAGCTTCGTAGTCCCGTTCTGCGCAGCAGCAATACTCCGTGGATATGTCATTGACTCGGAGAAAGATGACGTAGTAGAAGGACACGCTGGCAGCGCTGAGAGCGTGGAATGTTTCGCAACCAGGAAGCCCTGCTCAGCTGCTGCAGGTACACCAAATTGAGGCTCAAGCTGCTCAACTGGTTTGGCCTCCTGAAAAGCGCGGTATCTTGATACAACCCGTGCCTTCTCAGCCTCCCAATCAATCTCCATTTCCTCCTCAGGCTCCGGATCTGCTGCCCCAACGCCTCGGAACCCGTTCACAACATCCCTCGTAGACCGCATCGCAGCTCGAACATTAGGCCTCGGCCGGTGCTTCTTTTTCTCCTCTTTCCTCTCCCTGCCAGCAGCTTTAGCCCGTCGCGGGCGTGTTGCATTTTCCGTAGTCACGTCTGCTGTCTCCTCCCCAGCATCAGACTGAACAGACTCAGGCGGCGGTGGCACAGGCGACTGCCTGCGTCGTCTGCGAATGACTGCGTTTGGGTCGAAGTTGGGATTGCAGGGTACCTGGGCCTTCTCCAAGTGGTATTTCAAACCAATGTCGTTCTTCCAGGCGCCGCCGCAGGTTGGGCACACGAAAGGTTTGACGCCGGGAGGAAGCGGCGGCCTGCGAGGCTTCTTACCCTTGCTACGGGCTCCTCCACGACCGCGACCAGCTGGTCTGCCTCGAGGACGTGATCCCGATTCTGCGGGTGTGGCTTCGGCGGTGGCATCTTGCGCAAAGTCGGTCTCTTCGAGAGCTGCCTCTTCATCAGCGCCAGGATCAACTTCCTCCCCGGCTTTGATCTTGGCGATCACTTCTTGAATTTCCATGGCATTCTGCTGGCTGTCGGGTTCATTGTCGAGGATGAATACACACGTCCAGGGAGCTTCATCTTTGTCGACCTGAACTTTCAAAACAAGACTGCGGTCATTGCTGTCTGGTACATCTTGAATCTCCGAGTCGAGTAGGGTGTCATCGATCCGAATGATGAGGGGCTTCTTGAGGCCTCTTCCCGACCGAAGCCAGACAAGATTCTTCTCAGCAAAGGAAAGCCGCAGCCTGCCCCATTTGTCGTTGTATTGAACATTCAAAGCAATCTCCTCCCGCTTCTTTGGCGGCACTTTGTTGATTGGAGTAAATCCAGAGGGAAGCGCCTCGTCAGATGTCTCCTGTTGTTGGACTTCCTCTTTGGCTGCGTCTTGAGAAGGCTCTTGCTGTTCTTCCCCCGGTTCTTGCCCAGCTTCCGGTTCTCTCGCCTGGTGCTTTTGAGTGTCGACTGGCTTTTCAGCAGTCTCGACAGCAGTAGGCTCAACTTCCATAGCTTCCAGAGGAGCAGGTTCACTGGTCGGTGTCTCTGCCAGCTGCTCCTCAAGCTTCTCTTCTGTTGATTTCTGGCTCGCAGGCAGCTCCTGCATCTCAACATCAGCCTGCCTGGCTGTTTCAGGTGCAGGTTCTGCAACGACGTCTCCCACTTTGGGAGTAGGAGGTAGGGTTTTGCGCTTCGCGTACGGTCGCGATTTACGCGCAAGACGCGAAAAGTTGGAAAGAGTTGCCTCTTCCTCTGGAGCAAACAGCTTCGGCCTCACGGCGCCAAAACCATACCGATCGGCGGGGTTCGAGCTCTCTGTCTGAGTGGCTTCCTTTTCAGGTTGATGTTCAGGATTGTTGACCGCCGCCGAAAACATGTATGCAGAAGTCTTGCCGTGGCGCACAAGTTTGCTAACCACCTGGAACTTCTTGAGGTGTGGCGGCTGCTGGGTCTCAGCGACCTTGGTGAGGTAGCTGGACAGGTAACGTCGATGTTGATAGCCGACAGTCGCGACGCTGACTTGGGGGTTGGAGGCGCCCTCGGGCCCGGCACTCTTGATGACCTCAAAGACGGTCTGCGGAAGCGGCTTCTCCGGCGTCCAGCCGCTGAAAATACGCTTCAACTTGGACTTATCATCTCCGCCCTTCTGCTCATCGTTGTCGTCTGCTTTCTTGTAAAGCGCGAGTGCATTCGGCTTGGGCTCTCTATGCCTGGTCGGGTCCGAATACTGCGAAGTCTTTTTGCCAGTAGCCAGAAACTTCTCCCACTCCTCCGAGGTGGGCTCTCTGATAAATTTAAGACAGTCCTTGAACACCTTGCGCGAGCCCGGAAAGGAGGCAGCCGTGTACTTCAGCATTCCCATGTCAACCAGTCGTTGGCAAGTCTTGGCCAGTGTCTTCATCTGCCATCGCTTGCCAACCACACCCATCTTGGACCTGAGATCGGAGTACCGCATCACGTTGAACGCCTTCACCACGCCGACCGCGGTCCGACCCAGAGCATCCATGTCGATGTTGTTACCAGTCCAACGGGAATGCCACTGAACAGGTTCCAGGTCCTTGCTGAGAGTCTCAGGCGACAGATCCAGACCAGCTGCATCTGCTTCGACCAGGGGAGGGGCAAAATCAATCAGCCACAATCGACTAGTCTTCATCTTCTGAACGACAACAGTTCGCTTGGCGATGTAGCCCTTCCTAGCGAGAGAATCTGTGCGCTTGGGGAGAGATCGCTTGTCTTGATTCACGAGCTTTCGGAGGTCGCTTTGAAGGATACCTTCGGCCCTGGCTGAAGCAATGCCCTGAAGACAGGCCCATTCCAGCGCAGGAACTCGCTTGTAGTCGACTCCATGACGAGTTAATGTTTGCCAGACGAGCTCCTCAGATGGGTGAATCCTCGGCCGAACCGTGAGGGTCAAGTCCTTGCTTTTCGAGCCCTTCTTGCCTTTCTGCCCCTTTTCGGGCGCACTCATCGACGATGCTCCGGCAAGTGCTGGGCCGACTTTATCAGCTTCAGGGAGAGCGAGAACCTCGTCCAGCTCGAGCTTGTTATAGCGGCGGTCGCCATTGATGAGAATCTGAGGACGGGAACGTAACCAGTCCCACGCCCAGCGAGCCGATGCCATCTCAGCCTCGGTCAGCGACTTTTCGAGGTCGGCATCGTCAATTGATGCCAAGCTCTCTACATCTTGGCCATTGAGGCTCAAATGGTACTTGCGAACGATTTTCAGCAACTCGGTTATCGACACGCCTGTTCACACAGGTTAGTTCTCATTTCACAGTTTCTTCCATGCCCTTTTTGGTTGCCGAAGGAGGCGTTCATGATAGATTGACTTCATGAGCAACTCCTGAACTGCCTTTCATCTAGAAAATCATCAAAAAATCATTCCAGCGATGAAATATCTCATTAAATCGCCGTAGCAACATTTCCCGTATATCAAAGTCTTGAAAGTCTGTCAAATGAAAGTCGCCGCAGACATACCTTTCTCGCCCGAATAGGCTATCTCTGGAATGAGGCCCTCTAAAAGGACCTCGAGACCCAGTCCGCTCATGATGGCTATGCGGGTTGTCTCATTCTCGATGGTGCAAAAAATTTTAGCGACAATGGACTCAAGCGGGAGTTGAACTCTGGCGACTGCGGTTTTCGATGCAGGATGCGGAATGGTGGCGATGCGAAGAATGACGCGGATGCACGAAAGCGTGGGAGTTTTTTTGGTGGGGCAGAAGGTCAGGTCCACCGTGGGGGTACAACAAAAAAAGGCGTAACCTACGTTACGTAAGTTACTGAATGGTATGCAACGCGTGTAACAAATGACGTAAGATTAAGGCGGGCTTCGGGGGCTGAGGGATCTGCACGGCAAGTGCATCGACATTTGAGGCTTTGATGTTGTAGACAGCCTGAAAATGCACCCTGGCAACTTGCCCAAGATAACTGAGATATGGTAGGTATTTATACAGGAACCGGGTTCCCGATAAACAGAGGATGTAAAATCATCACAAACGTCTAGTCATTCACTGTAGAAGGCAGAGAGACAATTAGAGAACGTAGGATTCCGCAAACATAAAAGCTGAGTAAAGTTTCCATTAGTGTTTCCATATTCACGTCCCAACAGCAGGCCTCCGTTCGGCCATCATCTTCCTGTATTGCTCGACAATCTGCTGCCGGATGCTCTGCAGCTCCTCCCTCTGCCTCAGACTGCCCGCAGCCTTTGGGATGTCCTGCACAGCAACCGTCGCTCCACGAACCAGTAGATTCTTCTTAGGCTTCTTGAGCTCTGGAGGCGCCGTGGCCACATCATTAAGCCCAGGCTTGCTCTCACCGCGCCGCCTCTTGATCTCCTCCCACGGATCCTCGTCCGGGTCACCGACCTCGCCGAGGAACTTCTTGCCCTTTCCCTTCTTTTTCTTCTTCTTCCCCGTCCCCTCGAGCTCCATTTTCAGTGACACGCCGTAGGTCATCTCGGTTTCTAGATCCTTCTCTTCCTGCAGCTCGCGCTCTTCCTCGAGACGCTCCTTCACCTTGCGATCGATCTCGCGCCATTCCTTGATCATGTTCTGAATCTTGCGCTCCTTCTTTGTCTGACGAACCTTCAGACCCAGCGGATCTTTGCCATTTTTAACTGTCTTCTTAACCAGTCCGCCGAGGGGGAGGGCAGCGTCAACTCGCTGGGCAAATTCCGATAAGCGCTCGCCGGGCCGGATCTTCAATTCCTCGGAAAGATTTGGTCTTGTTTCTTCCTCCTCGGACTTCTTTTTTTTCTTTCCTGGCGCTTCGCCAGTGTCTTCGACAGACTTGGGAGGGAGCTTTCCCTCCTTGAGCGCCATCAAGCGCTTGAAGGCGCGAGGAGCATCGTCGAACTCGTTCTCGCGTTTTCTCTTTTTGACAGCCTTCTTCTGCACCTCATCCGGCTTCTTTTTCGCAGCTGTCTTCTTGGAAAAACTGGTCGGTGGAAGCGGCAACGCAATCTGATCAGGTGGGAGGTCGTAGCTGCGGCCAGGTCAGCATCGGCAAGGAAGCAGAGGGATTGGTGGGGAGGACATACACCGACTCGTCCTTGTGTCTCCTTGTATGTTTGTGCGGCATTTTGGGCAAATTCAGCTCCTAATTCCCTTGACCGAAACTTGTTATCGTGTCGGACTGAAAGACGGCCTGCGCCCTGATGCTTTCACAGTACTCGAAAGGTCGTCGCTGTTCGCGGTCGAAGCTGGAAAAATTTCCCCACTGCTCCAGGATTGCGATAAGATAAGCATGGTGCACAGATCAGATGACGGTCAGGGTTACAGTGGAACAGCCAGTCGGCAGAAAGCGAAGTGTGGGGATAGACCCCTGGCCGCTGATGCAACGGTCCCCTCGCCTCGTTCCTCAGTGCCTGCAGTCAGTGTGGGGCGTACACCAAGAACAGAAAATCACCAGAAACGCGGAGTGGTCTGTGCAGGCCAGTGATTCCACCGCTTTTCCAGGGCTTCCAGACGCTTTCCGAGCAGGCAAGCCAACGGCGACAGGGAGTGCGACGACAGGTCTTGGGCGGTGACATCGATCGCTTGTCTCGGGGCATTTTCAGACTCCAGGACTCGCTGCAATCAGCCTGGTTTTGCGTGTCCTGGACTGTCAAGAATAACAGAAGACACTGAATTCAAGCACGTTCCTCACCCAAAGATGCAAATTCGGAACAGCATCTGGCACATCTGCCGTCTACAGTAAAATCCGGCAACAGCAGCATGCCGGTTCCAGTCATCCAAGGCACAGCTCCGTATCCATACTGTAAACTTTCTGGACGAGAAACACTCACGAAGCTTGGAAATCCCCAACAACTATCTCGCCGCTGCTTTTTCTGGTCCATTGCATGGATGCTGGCACTGCCGATCCTGGTCCTGTCAGTCTTTTGTCAGCTGTCGGGCACTCAGGAGGGTCCACGTGCTCTTCCCCTGCTTCGTCTCCTGCGTCTCCTGGCGCTTGCGGCCGCGCCTCTGTTCCGGTTGTTGAGAGCAACAACATCCCCTATATAGCAGCCGCATCGCAGCATATCATGGACAGCACGACATTTTCTCCTGGGTTTTCATTTTTTGCGTCGCGTCCGGATATGAGCAGTTGAGCTTCCGAACTGTCGCATTTTTCTGACCCCCGAAGCTCTACCCTATCTTGTCTTTCGCCGTCATGCCGTCAATGGATCGGATGGCCGAAGACCAGGCCGTGGCTACTTCGGCCCGGCGCGCGCCGGCCGAAAACGGCCAGCCCTCCTTGAGGGTGAGTAGACATTCAAGATCCCCGTGAAGGCCAATGACTATCCATAGCGATCATTCAGGAGTCTCATAAGTAATTCCCTTAGGCTTTCCGGGAGCGAACGGCTCGTCTAAGTCTCGTAGGCGACTCTGAGTCCCCAGCCGGCTCAAGCCCTTTGCCGCTACACGCCAATGCAACAGAAAAAGACACGAAATCTTCACCTACGTCGGAATCTTTCAAGAAAGCAGTTGTAGACCGGCGCTGGTCGTCATGTTGGATACTAGCAGCCATGTATGTAAAGCTTTTGCGTATTCTGGGTATCGAGTCGTTTTACTCACAACTATTTACTTAGAATCACATCGGCCATTTGGGGCTATATTACGCTCTTCCTATTGGATACATCTCGCCAAGGCTACTTCCGGAAGAGAAGCGGTGTTGACCCCTTCGAAAAATGGGGCAAGGCCGGCACCGGGACCGAAAAGCTCGCCTGGTACCCTACCGATTTCCTGCGCGATGTACAGCCGGTCCGGTGCCACTCGCACAACGACTACTGGCGCAAAGTGCCCCTATTCTCGGCACTGTACGCCGGCTGCACCGGTGTCGAGGTCGACCTGTGGCTGCGTAACGGCGACCTGTTAGTCGGTCACGATGAGGCATCTCTGCAGCCCGATCGCACCTTTCAGTCTCTCTACGTCAATCCTCTTGTGGAGATCCTGACCCGGCAAAATCCCCATACGGCCTACTACAATGGCAGCTACAATGGCGTCTTCGACACCGACCCGAGTCAGACCCTCGTCCTCCTGATTGACCTGAAGAGTGATGGCGCTGAGACCTGGCCCTTAGTAATGAAGCAGCTGGCACCGCTCCGCGAGAGAGGCTGGCTGAGCTACTACACCAACGGGCGATTCGTCGAAGGGCCCGTCACGGTGGTCGGCACGGGCAACACGCCCTTTTCGCAGATCGTCCAGAACGCGACTTACCGGGACGCCTTCTTTGATGCGCCTCTGGACCAGCTGGAGAACTCCAAGTACGATTTGTCCAACTCGTACTATGCTAGCGTCTCCTTCTGGAAGGCGATTGGCATGGTGCTGTGGAGGGGTACGCCGAACGAATCGCAGATGCGCAGTATTCGACGGCACATCCGCGAGGCACACAAGAGGGGCTTAAAGGCGCGGTACTGGAAGCTACCGTCATGGCCGGTCCATGTGCGGAATAATATCTGGGAGGTGCTCATTCGCGAGGGAATTGACATGCTGAATGTAGACGATCTGGAGGCAGCTGCTCGTCAGGATTGGACGGACGTCGGGATCTTTTAGGGAGATGACTGGCGTCGCTGGGTTTGTGCATAACAGTTTTTGAGCCATGATATATGTCTCTGGCTGCTTTGGCCGAGCTCCCAACGAAGGTGGAGAGGTGGTTGGCAACACAGCCGGACTCGGAAATCAGACGGGGCGACAAGGTAATGCACTCTTCACCCTGTTGAGTGGAGACCGTAAGTCGTCTCCCAACGCAATCGAAAAAAAAAAAACAATTGGCATTGATCCTTAAGCGTGCCGAGTTACCATGACACATACAAAGATGACTTCCGAGTTTTGATAGGGTCGTCCGGCTTGGTCTACATATACTCCATGTTGACCCCGCTGTCCGGGGCTACGATGCCGAGTCTCGTCCGGTTTTTCTCCTGCGGGGAGCACACCATCTACCCGTTTGAGTGGGGTTCGCTTGCACCCACGCTGCAAGCTTCCATGACGTCCGGCAGCAAGGCTCTTTCGAGAGCAGGGCTAGGAGGGAGGGGAAGTCGGAGCAGTTTGTGGTATAAAGTGTTCTGTCAGTGCTGAAGTGAGAAGTTTCAACACGTTGTGTATGGTTAATAATTTTCGATACGATACCTCAACTCACTCACTTCTGCCCACTTTCTGGGGGACAATAATCCTTAATTCCACTGTCAAATAAACCGCATCAGTTTGTAGTCACGGCCCTTGAACCAGAACACTGGTGGAAAACACAAAATGGCGACAGAACAGCCCCAACGCCTTGCCTCTATCGACGTGAGCCTCACAGCAATTTACTTAACAAATCACAACCAACTAACCAAACCCCTCAGTCCTCCCTGGCAGCCCGCCTGCCTTCCTACTCAACCGTGCTCTTCGAGGCCAAGACCGCTAAGGGCCTGACCTTTGAGCAGATTGCGCAGCGCCTGGGCCGTAGTGAGGTGGCCGTAGCAGCCATTTTCTACGGGCAAGCATCTGCATCCCCCGAGGACGCGCAGGCCCTCTCGGAGCTGCTCGGCGTGCCTGTTGATGCATTCAGGGATGCCGTGCTGGGCTTCCCTGACCGTGGTCGCGCTGGCCCCATGCCCCCCGTCGAGCCTCTCATCTACAGACTGTACGAGATTGTGCAGAACTATGGGTATGCGTTCAAGGCGGTGATTAATGAGAAGTTTGGAGATGGCATCATGAGCGCAATTTGCTTCAATTCGAAGGTTGAGAAGGAGGTGGATGACCAGGGCCAGAGTTGGGTAGTCATTACCCTTAAGGGGAAGTGGTAAGTCTACCTCTCCCAGTCTCATTATGGTTTCTTATAGTCTCCTTCTTTCTTTTCTTCAAAAAACGTTTTGAGCCGTCTACAGATTGCCCCGTCATTCTTTATCTCATTGTCTGGATTGGTTTGGGCCGCCTTTTCTGTGCATGAGACTTGACCGGGTGTCTTGTCTTTGGACAGCGTTCAGCCCCAACTTTTGCCCTTACTTTCGTGTTTTATTTTCTGATGATATTGTGGTGAGCTTGAGGACAAAGCTGACAATACTAGGCTCCCCTTCACGAGGTTCTAGTCGGTTTGTGGTTAGACACGTTAGTGTGTGAGGGAAGGAAAGCAAGAAAGAATCTTGCCCAGATTTTGCGTACTTTCGAGTATGGACCAATTGACAGAACATGTCTCCGTATCTGGGTCATTTCAGCTGAAAAGCATCTGATCCGAGCCTAATTCTTCCATCCCGAACCCACAAACGATTGTTTGTGCACTTTGTTCCAAGTGGATGGCGTGTGCGGCAGTGATGCAAGTGTTGTGCTCCAGACAAGGGGGCCGCAGGTCAAATCAAGTATGAAGGCATTCAGAGGGAATAATACTGAACTTCAACGCCACAACATCGCCGCAGCCCACAATCACTGTCACAGCCCACCATTTCCATATCCATTCAATGGTCACTCTTCCAATCATCTTCCAATCAAAGAAGTTGGTAATCACAGTTGTTAATGATCTGCTGCAGCGCTCAACTTGTTTATTGTCGAAGCCTAGAAACCCTCCAAACCTGTCTCCCTTGCCGCTCGACTCCTTGTCCTTGGGAGAAAACAATCCTAAGGGTCACAAGAGTAAGATTTTGCCTCGTAATTGACAAAGGCAACAGCTTTTTTCTGAAGGATGTGGGTTGTGATTGATTACATCACAACTCCCTAGATCGTTAGTATTGTCCTTCCTCTTTCTCTCTTAACTCTCATCCCATGACACATTTCCAACCAGACTTTGTGAATAATATACATACCAACCTTAATGACAAGCAACACTTTACCACCCCACTTCTTGGCCAACCTGGAGCCCTCGGCCTGTTCCACGTCACGCAAGAGGGGAAAGTTCGCGGTGTCTTCCTCCCTCTTGGGAATGGGATTGCTTGGGGAGAATAGATCTTGGAGAAGGGCTCGAGTGGTAATGCCATAGGTCACCTGTACTTAGCTGGGGAATATTTGCGGTGGTGACGAAGGGAAGGGTTAGGAATAGAAGGGTTGGTAGGAGGACATGGAGTTAAGACACGATATTTACTCGCTGGTTGCTTCTTTGGTATGCCCTAGCGGGGGATGGTTCCAGGTATAGTAAAAGTAAAAGATGTCGGTTAACATATCCTTACGTTTATGATATTGCCTAAGTCCTATGATATGGTCAGAGCTCAAGTGTTAATAGACCTAAGACCACATAACTACTGCCCAATCAACTTTTATCTCCTTAAGGTTGACCATTGTTACTCTTTCCTGGAAGTTCCGTGCTTGGGTCAATGCAGGTAATACGCAGGAAAACCTCTCCAACTTGGTGCATTATCTTTCTTCACTCCAAATGCACTTCTCTTCATTACCAAAAAACTAAACACATCCTCCGCTTGTCCTCCATGGTCCCCGACTGGAAACGGTTTCTCAGTAACTTGAGTTGATTCCTCCTCCCCGAAGACAACTCTCACACCTTCATCATTTTCACAATACCATCTTCTGTACCTTCAAAAGATGCACAATATTGATTCCAACTTTTAAAGTCCCGTCAGCCAAGTCTTTTGCCAAGCTAGGGTTCTTGACGCGATCAATATCCTCTGCTGCTATCGCGACTCCATCTTGGAGGAGCTCCTTTTTTTTTCAAGAATCAACAGGAAGTCTAGCTGTTGACTGATGTCTTTCAGAGTTGCCTCAAAATCCGGGCTCAAATAAGGGTACTTGGTTCTACTTCGGAGAAACTCCGCAATCGACTCTCCGCGTATCTCCTCTTGTTTCTGGATCAAGTTTGGTCCAATCTCCTTCAGTCTCTTAAGTGTGTGGGTGAACTCCTATGAGCCAAAAAGATGGTCTGCAGTCTTATTAGCATGACAACCATCGGCTGTGAAACCGCTTGAGTCATATTGGATTCGCCTTACCGGCCATATATCTTCTTCATGACGACATCAACATGTGATGCTGGAGTTGCAACAAGTGGACTTACCTGCTTGAAGTGAGACTTCATTGACGAGCTTTGGTATTCCTCCAAACAATGTTTAACACACATAGCATGTTTGCCATGGGTGATACAAGAAAATGTTAATTATTGCGATAGGAAATGTTGGCAATGACGCCAGTGCAGAAAACACTGCTACCAACTTCCTGTCGAGGACAGTCTGCGGCATTCTGATCAATGGTCGTAGAAGCCTTGTCAATTGTATATCAAAGTCGTGAGGTTGACTAGAGCTTGGCAATTACAGCGACCCTCAGCGAAGTTGAAGTGATCTTGCTTCTACTCACCAGTTTCTCCTGGTGTAGTAGTCGTGATTCTATCAATTGGAACTGGTGAGACATCACAGGCATGGCACCATTTCCGGAACTCATTATGGCTTACGTAATCGGGTAAGTTAGGGGTATTCTAAGACTGAATAAGATTGTCGGGATAGTATGCCCCTTTCCCAATAATCGTCCCTGTGAAGAACAACTTTGATTGACTATAGGGTGAGCTCTCTATATATTGGAAACCCCATGATCTTGGGTTTGCAACAGAGGGGTCATAGTGCCTCTACAAGGGGCACAAAGCCGCTCGTTAGTTGTCTTCATTATGGGATGAGGACTACTCGAAAGTTATTGTGAAAGTCATTTGAGCACCAGTATGTTGGTCGCTTAGCTTAGGCCCGACTTCACGATATCTTGATACCCCCCTGTCGTGACAATACTCGTTAGTATATACTTACTCAAGTCAGAATGTCAATGTGCTAGTATCCAAACAGTTCATCTCCAGAGTTACATCCAACATCACGCTCGTCTTTCCTCAGTGTCGTAGAAACATCATGAGTTCAACGCTTCCAGATGCTGAAGAAAAGCCCATTGAACTTCCACATCACACAAAATAGGCTAGCAATAGCGGTCATAAGTGGCAAAAGAATGCGGGAGATAGGCTCCTTGTGCTTTGCCTTGAAACTGGTTTCGATGTCGGCAATCACTTCAGCAGTCTGTTCGCCCCAGATTGTTCGAAATTCATCGGTAAATGCAAGCCAAATGCTCGCCAGGCGATCTTGGACACTCTCGTCCGCATTTTCAATGATGGTGGTGACGTCTTTAAAGGCAAGGTCGATAATGTCCGCGGCAGTTTGACATAGCTCGCTCTTCGAGTCGGTAACCTTTTTCTTCCAGGCCACAAGAGCCTCACGATCAGGATAACTGCCCATATCCTTGCGTTCTTTCAGAAGAGTTGTGATTGTTTCATGGAGATTAAGCTTATCTTGGAACTCTTGGATGAGTTGATTGGCAATCGGTTCCATCTCCTTCACCAACTTGTAGATCTCCTCGTTATCATCGCCAGCTGATTCCTTGATGATGTCAATGATTTCATGCAGGGAATCTGACTTGGAGGAATTCACAACAGCCACCAAAACGCGAGAACCTGATTCAACTGTGGACAATTCCTCTGTGAAAGAGCCCTGTTGCGTAGAGTCCTCGGTTTTGTAATCTTGCACAGGCTTGAAAAACTGGCCCAGATGTTGTCCCTGCTTCTCGATAACATCACACTTAAGGTTCTCGATTCTATCCTTCCATGGCTGCGAGGCATTGTTGGGGGCCTGCAAGGTCCTAAATTAAGTGATTAGTTAAAAGGCCGAAAATATCCATGGACTGAGAAACCAAACTTATGGCGACCTACATGTTGGTATAGTTATCTGTGATAATCAAAGAAGAGAATGAAGAGCTGTGGGTACTTAGATTTTGCGCTCAGATTGTGGTCTAGTTGGCCTGATTTCGAAGTGGGAGTTTCATGAAGGAGCTGATGAAATGGGAGCTGAACTATTTAACTTATGAGGATCCAGCAGCTGGCAGAGGATTATCATCAGAAACCGGATAGGCTCAGCCGGCGGAGAGTGATTTTTGTTAGGCTGGTTTTCTGTCTTCTTTACGAAGTGGACAGGTGAAATATGGACAGGGATTTGCTTTGCTGACATGGATTTCACAACGCCAACGATAGTGTATTCAACTGCCAAAGACACAATGATGCTCATTCCAACATCCGCAAACACCATTCCGCCAAGATCTGGCCAATTATCATGCTTCTTTTAATCAATTAAAGAATAAAGAACCACCATGGCCGTCATCCTGTGTGGCCTGTATTGCTAAACTGCTGGAAGCTGTTGGATGTCTTGAATGGGCTAGTAGCAAGCTGGAAAGGGCCCAGCATTCATAGCCATTGTTTCAATAACCTGCGACCCTTGAAGTTTGACAAGTCCTGGACAAGTAAACCAAGCTCGCTTTAGTAGTAAGGTATGATGGTATTATAGATTTCCACGCTGTAAACTCCGTCTTGGTTGGTCCGCATAAACACGCACTTTCTCCATGTAAGATTGGAAGTCCAGATATTTCGTATAGCTTCCAATCGGAGTGTGTCTGTGTGACACGGCCCATGGCTTTCGGCATGTGCTCCAGTGGGCCAGTGATAGTGTCACTGCCAGCCTGACAGCTTACCACCCTCTCAGTCACGCATCATGATAGTCACTGACTCGTCTCTCGACAGTCTCTCTTGGAAGCCACTTTGTAGATCTTTTCTGGTCCACCTCCTGGATGGGTGTGGAACCGTCCAGAATCTAGATAACAAGTAACAAAAGATGGGTTAAATCGGAGCGTACAGAGTACACATGGAAGGCTTCATATGTTGGTGTATATTTTCCCTATTGTAAGTATCTAGTACACTTAAGATGCAACTGCTGTGTAGCATGTCCACAAAATTGAGCCATGCTCAGGTGGGGGTTCCCAAAGCCAGCAGCCACTGGCGACCCACAATCGGATCGCCATTAAAACGGGCCGAGGTGATGTGGGGTGAGTCTCGGCCTGCCCATTGATCCCGGAACTTAGCGGGCCGGTTGCGGTCAAGGTCAATGTCACGTAGTTCGGCATGTGGTCAACACCTAGATCTCTGTCGCTGGTGACGTGGTGGTGGCGTGGCACGGGTAGCTGTTACAAAGGGCGTCACCGTTCTCGAGGACCAATACACTGAGGATAACCGAACTCGAGTTTACAACTGTGTCGTTGTTTCTGCCCTCCTTAAGTTCATACTTGTAAAAACCAAACCCAGTAAAACGAACTTCCCTTTTCCCTGCATATCTGCAAACAATTCTTACGCCTGCCCCAAGTCCGTTTTGAGCTTAAAACTTTCAGGGATACATGCCAAATCGCTCGCGACAAGTTCACAGCACTTGTATTGTAATATGTGCTCTGTGTTGCTGATGGCTTGAAGTTGTAGAATCCGAGTTGAAATCCCAGCCTAAAAGTCATGTTAAAACGTTGGGCTGTGATGGTGTTGCGAGGTAGATGGGGGCAAGTATCTCCCCTCAAAATCTTCGGCATAGGTACAAAAAGGGGTCGTTTTACTGGAATCGGTTAGAAGCGAATTGCCCCCATGTTCCAGTATGGGGGTGGACTTCACAATACTCCCTATCCCCAGCGAGCCGCCCCCCGCCGCACCACCCGTCTTTATACTGGCTGATCTTACCAGACACAGACAATACATAGCCGCCTCATGCTCCAATTTACCATTTTCAGCTGTCAAAGTGGCCCAACATAGACGATTCAGATTCTTGTTTCCAACAGCAGTGGTGATACCATCATACTCCTGGCAGCCAGCAGCCTAAATTCGCTTGTCTCGTGGTTGTTGTTGTTCTGCTTCCTGCAACCCATTAATAACTATCAGTTGTCAGCTCTTTGGCAATTCAGTTCATCTTGTCAATGGCCGGAATGAGCGAAAATGTGAAAATCGGCTGCTCACAGCACTTCTTCGACTCCGCTGGTGAGCAAGTACTGATCCATCTAAAGACCCGTTCTGTGCTTCCACTGAGACTTCACTTTACTGGGCAGCATATGGCAACCTTGTAAACTTACCAATAGTAGAAAAGCTGCTCAAAGACTTTGCTCGCCAGCTGATCAGAGGGCTTCTAAGTACGGATTCGTAGGCGTACCGTTTTCCTGTGCTTCTTCTTGATCAAGCACTGTATTTGCTTGTGTACATGTCTCCCGTAGCATACCCAATACGAAGCCCCCCCCCAAAGCCACGCACCGAAACTGCTGTCGAGGACTTGAACCTGCGTTCTAGTATCCTCAGGTGTCAGTTTATCACCCACTTGCCCGCTTTCGGTGACCGACTTGTCACATATGTATCGATGCCAGGTCGCAAACGCCTTTCTTTGGGACCTGATCCCCACCTCTGTGCTGTTCGACCCCGTCGACGTCAACTTCCTGCACCGTGGAGAGCGCAGATAGGCCATGATCATGAAGAACTGCGGAGTCTGACTGTTTTCTTCCTCATTTAGATCCATGTTTTTCAGCCACAAGATTTACCTCGTCTCTAAAACCGGAGCAAGATCCATTTCCCAGGGATGTAGGCCCTGTGGTTAGTTTTACCCTTATCTAGACCCCTGTTCCAGCTGCCTTTTGAACTGGATCTATGGGTCCATTGAGTGACCTGTTTTCCAATAACTGATCCCAACGCATTTGGATGAGGTGGCTAGACCAAGGGCCTGTAGAGTCACGGAGGAGACTGGCAAGACGAAGCGGGAAATCCGGAAGATAGTGAGCCAGCCTGTGAACATAAAAGTCCTAACAATCCCCCTTAGCATATGAGTTTGTTTGACAAGCAACTTCCAACGTCGATACACGCCTACTCCACGTGCCTTCACATTCGAAAACTTCATTTTCATCACCCTCACAACGTAAGACTCATGAGACTCCAACCACCAGATTCTTCTAATTCAGAGCTTGCAGGAAAATGGGTGCCGAAAAAAGCCCTCCCCAGCATCCCCCAGTGGAAGCTGGACATGTGGCAAACAACAGCTCTTTGGAAGAGTTGTGAGACCGACAAGGATTTTGCCCGGTACAGCATGGTCATCCAAGCCAAGACGCCCTCCACGATATTGATGGGGTCGGTCGAATCTTTCGGCCGGTCCGGTGGCTCTACCCTCATTAAGTCGGCAGTGGGTGGCGATGATGACCAGCCCAATGCACCCAACCCAAAGGACCCGGAGGTCATGAGGTCTCAGTTGGAGGTTATTACGAACGGAAAGCCTGACCTGAAGGGGTTTTTCGAGCAGGCCTCCAGTGACGTTGTCCAAAAGCACGAGGATTCAATCCAAGAGATCCGGCAGGATGCTGAACAGGCCAAGGCCGGGAAGACCGACAAGTCTGCCTGGAGGACGAAGTTGAGGGAGAAAAGAGATAAGCTGGTGGAAAACTCCAAGGAGTGGATTCTCTCAGCCTTCGCCAAGGCTGAATCCATGATCGACACTTTGCCGGAACCAATCCAGGAGCAAGCAGGTAACTGGTTCAATGACCTGATGGACAGCCTCACCAATTGGCTGAGCGACGCAATTCAGAAGATTTCTCAGTTCGTACATGATGCTTTGGAATTCATTAAGGTCGTGTGGAACAAGACTGTTGAGCTCGCCAAGGAGGCTGCCGAGAAGATCGCTGAGGCCTGGGAGTATGTGAAGGAAATATTCCACAAATGAGGGATGTAGTCATGAAAGATTATGGCTACAGCTCGATAAATGCAAAGGGTGGCCAGATCTTCTCTGCTGCTGCAGACAGTCCGGGTATGATTGTTCAGTGTCTCATTGTATGTAGAAGCTGGTACCAGCACTTAAGCAGCCATCATTACTGCAACTCATATTCATTTGCTGCTTGAAAGTAACATGAAGAGACTGCATCGCATATCACATATTACCATTTTTTGGCTTTGACTTAGGGAGTAGGAGTCTGAAGTCCTCATGAACTTTGTAACTTTATGTGGCTTGGAACTCTAGAGACCTGCTAAGCGTATCATTATATGTATCTGGTTAAGCTTTCGCTTCTTGGATCAGATGCTGTTGAAACATTTGACTCGCGCTAACTCTGCAACCAGGTATGACAGTTGAGTTTTGTCACCAAGAACCGCGCTAACAATCAAACAAGGGATATCCTGTAGTGCATATACATCCGTGGTGAATTCTGTCGGGGTCTCCAGCGCAGTAAGCTGAGTCGGCCAAATTGGATCATCCCAGTCCTACATCATGTCTTTGTTTTCAGGTGTTGTGAAGTTATCTGTCTTGCCTTAACGTACTAACTGCATTAATCATGGGCAGGTTAGAAGTATATCTGATTTTCTCTCATTCACAGAAACCTTTATGTTCTGCAAGAATGAATTATTCGGAGTCTCTGCCAGCTACGTGGATCCTCAATCTCTCTGCAAGCACTGATTTCCTCTCTTGATTTAGCAAGTTCGCATCGGTAATAGGCGCGCAAAAATCACGCTAGACTAGAGAAGCATCATAACAATGGTCAGGAGGAAGTGTGTTTTGGCAGGAGATGAACACAAAACAACCGGACAAGGAGGCACATATGTGCCACTTACCCTCCCAGGTTGTCTAGCTGTGCTTCCTCGGTGCCCCAGAACCCGAGGACCATCAGTTTGGTGCCAAGTTCAAGGGACTGATAGTCGTGAGTACTTACTGTTTGTCGCTTCAGAAAGCGAGAAAAACACGTAAGTCACCCAGTTTTGAATCATGTTACTTTGCCAGTTACTCAGACTATTACATGTAAGATGACACCGCTGCGTTATCACGGAGCGCACTATGAGCAGGGGGGCCCTGCGAGATCCCGAAACAGTTTTTCTGGACTTGGTTGCCAAGTGCAAGAAAGTCGAAGAGTTCGCAGCCTTCGCGGATAAACTTGCAAAGTACGGCGACTTCAGCACAGGTGTAGCGGGGAGAAGATAAATGTTCAAGTCGACGAAATACTAGAGAAGTTCAGCAAGGCAATCAGCTAGATTTAGTGAGTGACATGATTCTCACGCTGTTGCCTACAGAAGGAGTTCAGAACCTTTCAGCAGCAAAACTCACCAACGTCACCCAGAAATTCAGCCACCATTTGGTCCAAGGTTTGCGAGGAAATCCCTAATACAAACAACGTTTTGCGGGGTTTGCCGCTCATTCTTGCATTTCGAAAGCTAAGGATTGTTCAAGCTGTGAACTCAAGCTCGTTGAACCGGATCTTTGCAACCATGCGCAGAGAGGCGAAGGGGGATTTTCCCGATATTCAGCATCTTGTGTGTTAGGGTTCGGTCTTTACACAGTAAAGTTCGTTGGATGCCACAGTTTCTTAAGGTCAGCGAGAAGTTCCTATCTGAAGTAAATCAAGGAAATTGACCCCGTCGCTCACTTATATACAGCAGATTTTGGTTGGTTGAGATGCATCATAGAGAATATTTGTAAGCAGTATAATGAATATGCAACTGGCAAATGTACTGTGCCAACTGTAGTAGGATGGCCAAGTTATTGAGTTTTTTAAGGGTTCATTTCAAGCTTGAAAGTTAATGTAACGGGTGACTTGGTCTGGTGCAGACAGGGATCGACAATGGGTCAAATGGGTTAGATGATGGCCACTGACGATGTGGAGTGCACAGCGAAGTCAATTACTACGCGTAATAATCTTTCTTGATCCTCAGTGTCCTTGTGTTGGGGAGAGGAAAACTCGAGGAATGTTTTATCGTGTCTGAGTAGCTCCCCTTTTAAAATCCCTTTGCCCTTGCGAGTACCTCGCGGTCTCATGCAACTTTCAGGGGTTCCCTTCAGCGTGGCAAGGTTATCTAACTCATTCTTGCCGCCCCATCATATTTCCTGGGCTCTACCAATCAGATATGCCTTTGCCCTTCTCAGCTCTTGTGTCACTGGTGTTCTATATGTTGACTGTCAAGGCTATTTCTTCTCCTTGGACTGCCATATACATGTGACAGTTAACATAATTTATATAGGTGGTAGCTCGAGTAGTCCTTGAGCTAGTGAGAATAAATGATGCACTATGTTAAGTTTTTAAACATTCGTTCAACAGCTTAAAGCCTTCACTAAGATTATGTTAAAATCTCTCCTAGCACTCCATGGTATAGTTCAACTCTTATTTAATTATAGCGTTGTTTCAGAGGCATTGACCCTTAACACCCAAGGATGTTGACGCTCAACGGTCTGTACCGTCGAGGAAGGAGTAAACGAAGCTACAATGGGTATAAGATATAGATAGATTTCAGGCAGGCCCATCTGGCCGAAAGAAGCCTCCCAGTCAGCAATACAAACAGCTGTCTGCTCAACTGGTGATCAGAGATCATTCTGACTGTGTGAGAAGTCCTGTCTCTTAGGTCCAGCGGGCTGGCACCTCTCGAACCCATCTCAGCAGGTCTGTCTGGATCATCACACCACCAGTTGGGCACGCACAATTGTTTGCATTGCTGACTAGGAAGTTTTTCGTCCCTTTCTTTCAACGAGGAATCTATCGACCTTATATATTCAGGATCCTTCCTTATTGTTTCTACCAGAGGACTTTCAGTCCTTCATCAAGAACCCCCTGTTATCTATTGCCATTTCGGGCCCGAGTGAGCAGCGTCTTGTTTGGTCCCATGTGCGTGATCCTACTTTTCTTGCCGGTATCCCTTGTTGGTTGTGACATCACATGTCATTGCAAGAATCGCGACATTTGCGCTACACTTCGTGATTGGCCTATTTCCATAGCCCATTGGGGGTCCACTATTGGTCGCTTCCTTCTGCCCAGTGGCTTCCGCATTGGTACCATTTCCAGCTGTAACACTACTATTTCAAGAACTTATAGAAAAAAAATCAGTCTTCAGAAACGATTTCAGTTTCAATAATTAAAGAGAGTCCTCTTAATTCTGATTGAGTGTTTTTTTTACCAGGATGGTAGATGTTTTGGTCGTAAACTACAGCTGTGGAAAGGGAGTTTTATAAACCTCTCTGTCATAAATCTTGCGCTAACAAGTAAACAAGGGTTGAATTGTGCCAACCTATATAGGAGGTAGAAGCGTGAGTGTGGTGGGGCGCAGTGGGGTCACTCCATATCGTTATCTTATCTCCCTATATGTGTGCCAATATACGACTTTCGGCATCCTCGATAATTCAAGAACATTTAACACAAGAAAACCGTGCAAAACTAGACACTGTCAATCCCCAGGCCGGATACCCATGGTTCAGTATATATTCACACCTTGGCGCAACCGCGCCGAGCTCCTCGCTGTTCGCGCACAGTTTTACCCAGAACATACCTCAAAAACACACTTGAAGAAGCATCATCAATCAACATTTCAAGACGACGAGCACATCCGCTCCGAGAAGCAAAAAGCAGTCGCCCGCGTATCCATGTGGATGCAGCGCGGCGGCTGTCCTCACATGGTCGAGTCGACTGCGCTTCTGGTCGCTGCAATTCTGAGCGACGAGGCCCAGGGCTCGGGTGCCGCGGGGGGGTATGCCGTGCGCGCGGCGTACTCTGCAGCCTTTAGCCGGTTTGCCTCTCTTTTTTTCCTAGTTATTCAAGTATAGGATTGCTGACAAGTGCCCAGATTCGTCACTGGTCTGCTGGATTCTCATCAGGACAAGCAGCGCAAGCAGTCTATGTATGACGTAGCCAAAGCGGTTGGGTTACCAGCTGCTTTTGTTGAGCTGAGGCATCAGGCTACGCATGAGCAGTTGCCAAGTTTGACGAGGTTAAGGTCGGCTGCACGCAGGGCGCTAGAATGGATTTGGTGGTATTACTGGAAGGGACTGGGCCCCGTGGATATGGTCCAGCGGGGTGTGAACGGGAAAGGGGTTGCGGGGGTAGGGGACACAAGTGAGAGTGAGGAGAAAGATGTGGGGGAGGAAGGTGGTGATGCTGCCGCTAGGTGTCGCGAGGGGGTAGTGCGACTTCTGGAGAGTGACGTGCGGGTTGGAGGGGAAGCCATTAATGGACCTGGGAAAGAGGAGCTATTGGCTGAGTTTGGTGAAGCATTGGTTCTGACAACATTAGATGCTGCTGCGGGGAACACGCGCGATGTTGGGGTGTTGCGGCGGGCAATCGGGCTGATGAGAGAGATTGTGAACGGAGGGGATGAAGATTGCATGCAACTTGAGAACGGAAAGGGCAATAGGGATGTTGAAAAGCTCAAAGAGGAGTTGAAGAAAGGGTGGGAGGAAATTAAAAGGTTAGCGCAAGAGAAAGAGGACAGCGGGGACGACCAGACTGAGGACGAAGATGTGGATATGGAAGCTGAAGAGGAGGATAAGAAGGAACAGCAGTCGGGCTGGGTGCTGTATGATGAAAAGGAGTGGGTGCCCAAGCCAATAGGCATTGTCTAACCTTGTAAGAACAAGACTTTGATCTTAATAGTAATTTTCAGCTATCCTCAATGCCTGCCTCTGCCTTTCGTGATGGCTCAAGGTGGGCACGTGACTGTGGAGAATGTCCAGAACACAATAGAATAAGCGTCCAATGATAACGTCACATCAGAATGTCATGCAGGACGCGCTGTAACTGGAATTTGCGGCTGCCGAGGCCCGGGCTCTGTTATACTCGCATTGTACGTATTGCGTGTTCCGTACCTGTCTCGGACTTAACAATAGGGGAAACTTTCGCTCTCCAGTCTCTGTCCTTTAGCTTTCCATAATCACCGTCCATGAGTTTCTTAGCTGCTGCTCGGCGGCTCTTCCAACCAAACACTAGTTGCTTCTCTGCAATTGTATGTCAATCCACAGACCGTTGAGTTTGAGGCTAGATTAGCCTGACTATTGCGTCTCGAAAAGCTGGCTGCCACTCGCAAAATGCACATCCGGTCGATTCCCATGTGTATGTCCTTGAGTGTATTACAGGATGAGAACGACTATAAGACCTGCTGACAAGTACAGGGACGGGTAGTAGTGACAACTACGCCTACCTTGTCGTTGATGATAAGTCCAAGGAGGCCGTTGTCATTGATCCAGCTCATCCTGCTGAGTGAGTCTCTCATTCACTTCATGGAAGCCAAGCTTTTTCCAACTAATACTTCAACAGGGTCGCCCCTGTTCTGAAGCAGGCCATTCGTGAGGATTCTGTCAAGCTCACAGCCATCATTAACACGCATCAGTTCGTCTCCTTATTTGTTTCTCGTTGGAGTTCAACAACTAATGTACTCAATCAGTCATTGGGACCATGCTGGTGGTAACAAGAAACTTGTATGCTCCCCTCCTCTACTCAAACTACCTTCTCCCTCTGTGGCGCTGACAGTTCCATTGCCAGCTTCATGAGCTGGGCCTCGCCCTCGAGATCATTGGTGGGAAAGACTGCGAGGGTGTGACGCGGACACCCGCTCATGGAGAGACTTTCAACATTGGCAGCATTGCCGTGAAGGCCTTGCACACACCATGCCACACGCAGGACAGCATCTGCTGGTTTATGCAAGACGGTGATGAGAAGGTCGTTTTCACTGGGGACACGCTGTTCCACGGAGGTGGGTTTTCCCATAATCCTTGGAGAGGGGGCAGCTGAGTAAGACCGAGATCTGACAAATGTGTAAGGTTGCGGCAAATTCTTTGAGGGCACCGGTGAGGAGATGCACCGCGCCCTGAATGTCACGCTGGCGTCTCTGCCAGATGATACTCGCGTTTTCGTGAGTCATGTCCCCAGATGCTCTGTAATAGTCTACATATCTGACTTGACATCAGCCTGGCCACGAATACACCAAATCCAACGTCCGCTTCTGCTTGTCGGTTCTTCAGAGCGAGGCAGTGAAGGCACTGGAGAAGTTTGCCAATGAGCACAGCCAAACGCAGGGCAAATTTACCATTGGTGATGAGAAGAAGCACAATGTGTTCATGCGACCACAGGTAAGAAGGCTTGGAGACAACTCGCCTATGCAGTTGGAGATCGTGCTAACAAGTGCCACAGGACCCTAAGATCCAAAAGGCGACCGGTGAGACTGACCCCGTCAAGGTTGTCACTAAGCTGCGTGAGATGAAGAACAACTTCAAGTGAGTGGCCTTAGAAAGGACAGATGTCTCGTCTTATATAGAGGCATGTGGTTGATGGGTGGTAGGGAGGGAGTCATGAAATCGAACCTCTGAACGAAGTTGAGGTCGCTGCATCAGATACGGACTTGACGATGACGAAAATGACAACAAGTTTGTACAATAGGCATCTTGAATTACTCTATCAACATAGGCTATCCTGAAACGAAATGTCTCCGCGCGGTGATTCCAATGGACTCTGATGGCTCGCTTGGAAATGAAACCGCGGATGCGCCTGTAGTGGCACGTGGGGTTTTGTTCTTGCTTCATCGTCCACACTCGCACGCCCTGGGAAATGCCGGCGACAAGCTCTAGCAAATGCTGAAGCGTCGAATCCAGTCCAGACACCGGTTGGTAGCCAGCTCCGGTCACGCCCGACCTACCTTTGCTGCGTGCTGCCTAAGAGAATAAACACAACAACGCTCTATCGTTGAGAGCTATCACAATCAAGGAGACGCGAGAGTGGGCGTGGCGGTGCTGATTACAACCTGCGTTCGAAGGTGTGTTGGAGTTCTGAGTCAAGTTCCTGTGTTTGATCAGGAAAAAGAGAAGAAAAGTTTACCAGCGACGCCGGCAGAAGATTTTATGCCGAGCCCTGGACCCATCTAGTGAATGGGGCCTGTCACGTGATCAGGCGAGTCCTGCGACGCGGGTGCCCCGCCAATGTATCATAACGGGCTCGTCCAACTCCATACCGCTCACCATTCTATCTTGTCGCATGTCGCTTCACGCGATGCGATTGCGCTGTCATTTTGCGCCACGCTGCGAAACCACACAGAGGCAGGAACGCACAAGAGTTCGAGAACAGAGAATATGGTGAGCCTTCTAGGCGATTCGTTTTTGACAAGCGCTCAATGTCAGGACGCAAACCCCACTTACACGTCTCGCAGCCTCCGAAACGCCGCGCAGCCGCTAGCTCAATAGGCGCTCCCATGGCACGCCCATCCAAACTTGCCAAAGAACTAGGCCTGACTGCGCAACAAGAATCCGAAATCCGCGAGGCATTCAGCCTATTTGCCGAGCCTTACCCCGGCGAAAAAGAAGGAGTCATAACTATCCCTGATGTCCGGCGCGCATTAATGTATGATCCATCGCTTTTCAACCACCCTCCTTTTCCGGACAGATTCATGCTAACTGAGCTTCTCCCTCAGCGCTCTCGGCATCCCTCCTTCTTCTCCAGCCCAATGGGCTGAATTCACCTCCGCAATTGACCCCAACGGCGACGGCTTCACGACCTACTCTTCCTTCTTGGAGCTCTGCGCAATCCAGTTCCACCACCGGCCCGATGACGACGAAGACGCCGACGAAGCGCACCAAGCCGAGCTCGACGAAGCATACAGCCTGTTCACAGGGGGTAACCCAAATGCTCGCGCGATCACGTTAGACGACTTGAGACGGGTCGCAAGACTTTTGAGGCTAGACGAGGCGTCGAGAGAGAAGAAGCATCATTTGCAGCAGGGGTTGGAAGGGAACAGGGGGAAGGATGACGATGGGGTGGTGACGGAGGAACTGCTGAGGGATATGATACTGGAGGCGAATGGAGGCGCAGGTGTTGAAGAGGGAGTCAGGAAGGAGGAGTTCGATGCCGTCTTGAGAAGAGCAGGGGTTTGGAGGTAGGGCTCGCGCCCCTGGAAAATTCGGTATTGAGTGAGGTGCGGATTGGGGATGATGTTCTCGAAAAAAAAAAAGCGAGGGGCTTCGTACTAGTTCTGTTTACGGTCTATGGCATGGGTTGGCGTACTGGTATTTCGAATTTTACGGGTCGGGATTGTACATGACGGGTCTGGTGTTAACATGGCTGTGGTTATTGTGTTTTGGTTCGATTCACAGAATACATATACCTCACTTTGAGGGATTAGAGGACGAGCTTGCGCTTAGGGGCTTGGAGTCATTCGAGGCATTCTTACTACTTGGGACACTGGCATGCACAATACGACGAACTCAAGCAACAACGCATTTCTTGACTTAAGTGGTTGACATTCAGCTAGCTATATAGCGATGATGCCTACTCTGCTAGGCGTAATATGCACTGCCTCTGATGAATGCAAATCATGGCTCATATCAACACGTTTAAGACCATACCTCAAAGGCCTGCCAAAATTCACGGCCCAAGCATATGGCGCATACAAAACAAAAGCGAAATATCCAACCAACTCCGTACCCATTAAAACCTAGACTACTACGCTCCGTTCGCCCCGTCAGCTTTCTCCTCTTGCTGTTGCTCTTGCTGCTCCTGCTTGCTAGCCTTTTCCTGGGCTTCCTTTTCGGCCGCAGCCTTCGCCTCAGCCGCTTCCCTCGCGCGTTGAGAGTCAATCACCGCCTGAAGCTCAGGTGGAGCTTTGAAGCCAGCATGATCGGCATGGCGTTTGTAGAAGTAGTTGTCTGGGCGCGGACGAAGCTCTGGGGGCAGCTCTTCTAGCACACACTGCAGCATGTTGTCAATCGACTTTTTGCGCGACGAGTCACGGTGCCAGATGGAGATCAGGTGGGAATTGAAGCGCACTGACAGACCAACTCCGCAGATTTGGTCGCCTGAGAGTCGCCAGGTTAGCCTCTTGAATCATCAACGCGAGAGTATCAGCGCGAAACCTACCCTCTTCCAACACGCTCTGCAACTTTTCTCCTACCGCCAACAATTGCACGCGCGTCCACACATCCGGGCCGATGCTCTTCGGCACGCGGAAGGTCCACGCACCGCCCAACACATTCCGGCGATCCTCCCACACAGGCCGGAAGCCCGCCTTAAACAGATAGATGCTCTCACGCATCTTGATCTGGTCAATCGGCGTGTTGTTGTGGTACCGCCAGAAGTCCTGCACGCTCTCAATCCGGCCTGGCAGCTGCTCCAGATGCGCTGTGTACTCGCCGCTCGACTGCGTTTGCTGCCCTCCGGGTCCCGATTGCTGCTGCTGCTGCTGCTGCTGCTGGTTGTCCCGCTGCCGGTCGAACCAAACGTGCCAGTAGTGCTGGGTCGGCAACGGGCGCATAGCCTTCAGGAAGTTGCGCTTCGCATCGTCACGCTGCTCGGCAGGGGATGCAACGCTCGGTGAGTTGGCGTCGGTGCTTTGCGACAGGCCCGAGAGGCCGCGCGTGAAGAGTGTTGGACGCATTGACATCTTTGATTGCGCGTTGCTATACGGGATACTCTATATGGTACTTAATATATATTTGGCTGACGTCGTATGATGCGGCGCTGTGACGGGTGTTCCTGTCCGCGAACACACGAAGGTGGGGCAGAGGGCTGGTAACACGGGAGACTCGGAGGGTCGGCGGCGGCGACGAGGACGAGAAGAAGAGAGGCACACGGGCGATTGTTGGATGACCCGAAAGCTTTAATCGAGTAGTTGGCCACGGGGGATATCACGTTACCGTTGGCGGCCAGGGTGTCCAATGTGACGGTTGAACCCGGCTGTCGATCAGGATCTGGGCTTGTTTCAATGGCCAGGGTAAGTGAGATAGGATTACGCAGGAACTAGCCAGGGGCAATGGCGATCCGAATGACACTTCAAGCCGCCGAGAACGACACACAAAGAGGCACACGGGCACTGCGCGTTACGTCTCTAGGGGAATAGGGGGAGCCTCGAGATCTAGGGGTTGGGATGGTCGAATGAAGTGGACGAGCACGAATCGAGGGGTTGGCGGATGGGCCAAGGCGCGCGTGGGGAGCCTGGAGCGTGACGCCGGCAGCTGCGCACCGCCACTGGACAGCAGCCAAGACGCCAGGATGGTGTGCTTGGTCTCCTTACTGACTGGTTCGTTGACTGGCCGTTGCGCACAGCAAAGGGGCTTCCGTTCGGCAATAGCCCCATTGGAGAAACTGCCATTTCGAAATAAGCGCGTGGATCCAATCGAGCCCCAATCTTTCAACAAAGCAAGCGAGTCTTGGGATCAAAAGCCAGCAGAGAGAGAGCAGAGAGGGGGGGATGAAAGGCTTCTGGGACCCTGACAGCTTCAAAGAGCCCCACCTGTCTACGCTCTAGCCGAACCTGCCAGGGTCCCACGCGCCAGCATCAGTGGGTCCCTCAATGGAGCTGAAACAGAATCGTGGGGCATATTGTCTGTTTCACAGTGGGCCGAACAGCTGGACAGCGGCGGGGCTACCCGCCTGCCGGTTCACGGTCCCGGTTCCAATCCACGGGCTTCGTCAGATCTGCTGCAGAACAGCAAGCACACAGCACCCGGAAATGCAGCAACGGCAGTCATGCGGATCGTCTCTTGTTTGGATGAACGGACTTGAGAAGTGGAATTTTCCTGTTAGCAGGTTAACCGCCCAGCTCTGAGGCATGACCACGTAGGCCGGAGTGATGTCACTGTCGTGTGCTGCAGCAACCGTTCCCCCCCCCCCCCCCAAGCCCTCCCTGCCCTCGCTACCCAGGCTTGAAGTGGAAGGCTTGCTTTTTGAACAGCTGGCGGCCTGCGACGTGGTCCGCTCTCCGGCCCTGCTTCTACCTTTACGCAGGAACCTGACGAGTTTGGCATTTTCAAGGCCACGACATTGGCATATTCATTGCTCGCAGAAAACTCCGTTGGAGAATTTTTTTCCAATGGTAATCATATTTGCACAATCTGCAGCTCTGAAAGCGTCACCGGATGCAGAGAAGAGTTTCGAAAATAATATTAAGTCGTCAGTAGCCGGAGGCCGGTCTGTCAGACTGGCCGCCCACCCTCCAAAACCTCATTGATGTTTCGTGTCAGGCTTTGTTGGCTCCCCTGATCATGACGCCCGCTTCCAGGTTGGGCTGCTCCTTGAACTCTGGCAACTTTGTTTCTCTGCCTAAGCGCGAAGAGCTGGGGCTGTGAAGCTTCCCGCAAGCACCGGGCTAGAGGCTGGAGTAATTTTACGTATCAGAACGGTAACTTCTACACGACCGATGAGGGCTCGGTGACATCTCGACAATTAACATCAAGCAAAATTTCCGGTCTCTGGAGTGCAATTGATCCGTAGATATATTCCAGAATTCTCATTTACAATTATGAATGATAGAGGTCGGTCCTTTTCGATCATCTCATTCTGGGCACTCGGATAGGCGGGAGATGCTTCTGACAAACACACCCAGTCGGTACCGTAAGTTACAGCCCAGTCGAAACAAGAGGCCGGCCCAAATTTGTCGGCCACCAGGGACTGCCCGCCCTTCTGAGACTGACCCTTTTGCCCTATTGCCCTCTGTGCCTTCTTCATTGTTCTATGATCTCGTCCAGTTGCACATTCAGAAAATGGCACAAAATCCAAAAATACACTTCACCCTGGATTCTGAATGGCCGGTGGATGCAAGGCCCAGTCCCGACCGGAATCCTGCAGAACAGACCATTTATGTCTTTCGATTCCCTCATAACCCACGCGGGCACCCGCCCTGATCGTCGTCATTCTATCGCACGAACCGACTATTCGGGCCCATTCCCGATCACACTTATCGCATACTGCAGACTGATTGTCCACACGCCCCGCGCCAGTCCTGGTGTTTTGATTATCCCTGGCCGTCTCCGCTGTCCACGACAGCACCCGAGCAGCTTCTGAGTTGGCGTTGGGCATTGTCCTCTACATCCCAAGGCACACTCAGCACCAAATAGGTATGAACGATCTTATTGCGACCTCATATGCTGCTACCTCTTACTATCTCTCCTTCTCGATAAATTCCTCGTTGTCGTTCCCTCGACAAAGCTGGTTCTCTCGGATTTCCTTCCAAATTCCCCAATCCAACACATCGTGTCCCACAGTCTCTACAAATAATTTTGCTTCTTTGTTTTTTTTGCTATCCATCTGTTCGTTGTGACAACCACAATGCCTTACGTTGCTCCGAATGAGGGGCGGGCTATCGAGGTTCTCGATGGCCGCCGGATCGTGGTCAAGTGTTCCCGCCCGGCCGTGCCCATCCGTTCAACCTCTTCAGAGTCGCTCCCGCGATCCAGAAAACACGGCCAAACAGCCATGCTGCGTCAGGCCGTGGAACTCGCCCTCCACTACTTCAACGAAGGTGTTGAAGAGACGATGCCGGAGCTGGTCAGCAGAGCTAGGCTCTGGGCCGACCGGTACTTCAAGGGGCTGGCCTACGCGAGGAAGTCCCCGCTTGGCCTTCTGAAGATGTTCCCCAGCCTCTTCGATCTCGAACTCAACCGTACGTGGTTTTATTTTGAGATTATTTTTTAGCGAATAAAAGCTAACTATCTGTAGCATGCGCTCGGCTCAGCAGAGCTGCTGCGCCAGCTCAATATTTCGAACCAGAGGGCGTCAGCCTACGCCTTGCGCGTAAGATGGAGCTTCGGGCCATGAACAGCGAACCATTTCCTGAGTACGTCGAGCCCACACTTGCGACGGAAGAGGAGCTCGATGAGATTTTCAATGCCCAAGCCCAACGGCCCCTTACTCAGCAAGCTGTGGGTGTCGAGGAGCTATACCAGACAGGCTTGATGGATGTCCTTCCCGAGTTTCTCAGTCAGCTGGCGCGCATCGATCTTGAGGCCAAGTCGCTCCTAGAAATCAACCCTCAACGGAGCCCTCAGCACGTGGTGGCTGCGCTTATGGCCCAGCGCCAGTACTGCGAGTTCCAGACATGCTCTGACGACGACGAGTACGCCACCGAGGCTTCCGAGAGCGTGTATAGCCAGACAGTCAGCGAAACTTGCGACGACAATGACGGCAACGAGAGCGATGCTACAACCTCCACCATGGCCAGCCTCCGCGCCCGCACCCTGAAGCGCAAGGCTGCTGCTGAGCCCGATGACGTTGCCCGCCCGCCGAACAAGGTCCGGATCCACGTCCCGAAGGTACCCTGCCAAACCATCTATTACTTCGACATGAAGCGCGGCAAGCTGGTATCACGCCCCAACCCGGCCGCGCAGACCCCTGACAACAACAGTGATGATCTGGCAGTTCGGCCGTCTTCGCCAAACCACATCCCGCCTACCTCCTCGTCCCCAACTAGCTCTCCCGAGTCGAGCTTCCCATCCTCGCCTCGCCAAACCCCTTCTCCTGAGTTCAACGGATACCCCGACTGGCCCGCCATCCCCCGCGAGGTCCCGCGCAAACGTGGCCGAGTCATTATTCGCATCAAGCGCACGACTTCCGGTAGCTCTCGGGCTTCTACCAGGGAATCTCCCCGCGGCGAGAAGATCATCACTTTTCACGTTGCCCGCCGACCGTGCTACTCTCAACCTACGTCCTCCCCGCCGTCTTCAGGCCCGAACACTGTTCTGTCGAGGGTCGCTTCTCCACCTGCTTTGTCCTACCCCCCGGTCCCTAGTCCGCCGAGGATTGTCGTCAAGCCAAGGTCTCGGACTCCACCTAGGATGGACAGCATTAGTACTATGACGGACGAGTTTAGCGACAGCGTTGGTGGTGTTAGTATCGTTGTCAGCCGTCGTAATAGTGAGTTCGATAACTTTGAGAGGGAGCACTATGCGGCCTTGACTGTGCCCGACCGTTCGGGGTCAGTGTCGTCCTCGGTTGCTTCAGCTCCTGAGCTTTCGTCGCATGGTGATGGCCGCTCTACGAAGAGGAGGTGTGTCCGGATTAGGGTTGTGCAGCATGGGGGCATGAGACAAAAGGCTGCTTCGTCGCCGGCGGGATTTTGAATATTTATCAGGAAGATGGAACAGAGAAACGGGCATCAATGAGTGAAAGGTCATTGATCTTGTTATTTGTATGGAGTTCTGGGAGTGACAGGTGTCACATTGGCTTTCTATACAGGAATATTCTGGTTTTCCAAGGTCTTACATGGGAATATACGTTTGCAGCTGGTTGCAGATGCTAAATTTCTGGCTTTTTTCTTTTCCCATGTTTTTTTTTGGACATCAGGTGTTTTGTTTTTAGTTTAACGGTGCCGGATACCCAATACATAGTTCGAGGTCGCCTATGATTAAAATGTTCTAACATACACCACGATATGTGTACTGATCTTCGCTGAAGGTTGTCTTTCGAGTTACTCTCCAATATTACTGGATTGTTATGTAAGCAACTTAATAGTTGGTAACATCATTAATGGTCTTCAATCTTCTTTTACCTGGCTGCTGGTGTCACTACAGGAGTTCAAGGAAGTCCAATTACTTTCTTATAATAGGATGTTTTGTATGTGGGGCCACCTTGTGCTGACGCTTCACCGAATAAATCAATCCAGTTCACTTCGAAAATTCATCTCCCTTTACTTTTACCTCTATGGGATCAATCTTCGTAGTTGTTGCCGTTGAACTAGTTCTGGCCCATTGACACTGGCTTCCTTGGTTTTAATTAGCCTGACTCTGACCTACTGTGTTTTGGTCCACCTGGCCCCTGGTTCCATACAGGGCGGTTTGCCCTACACCAATCGCGCACTAAAGGGGTAGTCCATATATACTGGCACCCGCACCCTCTTCTTTATTGATCACAACCAAGAGCACTACAATGGATAGTTCTTCGTTCTTCGTGCCTTCGTCTTGTTGTATTATTCACATTCCTATATTAACATGATCTGAGGAAACGAGATTATGTTTTATTGATGTGTTCTCAAGATATCGCCCGATCTGAAAGCTTGGTCATGACGACTCTGGTACCAACCATCATCTGTTATTGACTTGCTCCTATCGCTATCGGCATTAAGCCTCTTTATGTTGTCACTCGATGAGAACCAACAACGCTGGTGATGATAGTCATTGTCTTTGCCATTAGCCAACCAATACTGAGCATCGGTGAATGTGAGATTCGCAGCAGAGTACGACCAAGTTTGAATGCACTATTTCACCATGCTGGCTTCTTGTCAACTACCTATTCTATGTTTACGTATCTTTTGGAATTTCTGAGTTTGAACATGAAGCTTACCAAGGACCCTGTTGGTATAGACTGCTCCTTTTAGTTACAGGGGTCTAAGCACATGTTGAGACCCAAGAGTTCTGTTTGCTGATTAGTAGTACTATCTATCAATTCGTGCTCACTGCCACAACTATAGAATTCCCAGTGGCCACTTTGGCATCATTAAGAATTGACATTACAGTGTATCTCTTCGCATCAGTTGTGCAGAATATAGGTACTGTCTTCTCAATGCTCTTGTATTTCCCCTACTTACTACAGCAAAACATAGCATCCAAGGTTCATAAAGAAGATGGTGGTCCAATATTCCCATTTGCGCTTGCTTCTCTAGATTAATTTTACCCTTTCCGATAGGGGCTTTCAAGGGTTGTTGGCAGCAGCAATACTGAAGAGTTCGAATACTCACCGTCAGTTGTCCAGCGGTTCGGGCAGCGACCATGGAGACACGGAAAAGAACTGTCGTTAGATCTACAGCGTACGTGCTTTTACGGTCATTGCGATTAGCACATTTGCAGTACATCCAAGGTTTGCCATCGTAACAACCGTAGGAGAGACCCCATCCATCCTATTTAACGCTCTCCGTTGTTATTACGGTGGAGCAAGGCTTTCTTCTTCGATGTACCAGCAACCAGTTTGGCGTTGAGACAGATGATGATGATCTCAGTATCCCAGTGACTGCATTTGCATTAATGGCTGTTAAGATGACACTCGTACGCAAGGGGCAATATTGTAAGATTGTCAGGGATTTGAGCCATTAGAAAGCCCACCGAATATCTGGGAGTCGAGTAGTATCCACCAAAAGGAGATGTTATCATGGCAATTGGCTTTGCTGGTAAATCTGAAGATGGGAATGAGAGACAGACGTGAATCGTAATACATGCAGCTAGGCATATATAGCTAAGAAAACATTGTTGGAAGCAGCCATAAGTACTCTTCTCCCTATTATGTTGGTGGGAGTACAAGTTTTAACTATACCAACCAAATGATGAGGGAAAATAAAAAAGGTTTTACCGTTCACAAAGACACTTTCATGGCTCTGAAGCATTTCTTGGGCTTTAGTCTCATGGGTAACTCAAAGGATCAAATACTACCTATGGTAGTGAGGTATAGTCCATACAAAAAGAGAACCACCCCCACCCCAAGCCATCCCTCAATACCCTCCGCCCAACTCCGTACAGAAAACTAGCGACCAGAAACCACAACAGAAACACACACAGAAATCAAAGTACAGTACCAAACAATAGCCGCAACACTTTCCTCCGTCAATACCTTAAAAGAAAAACAGAACTGAAGGAGTTTCTACCACCCAACAATATCCGTGTCCATGCTTTGTAAACATATTCCATCATGCCGTCATGTTGTCATCCCACCATCATTGCTCGCATGGCTATCCAGCGTGGCAGCGATCATTGTAGCCCCGAGTGATCCTACGCACCATGACATCTCCCGTACAGGTGTAACCTCCCGAGACCCACACTCCAAAACAGGAAACAAGTAAACAAACACCCCTGAGTTGGGATTGCACCCCACTCAAACGATATTTTTCCTGCCCCTCGCCGTCAACCAAGGCCTGGGCCGATTGAGAAGTTCGCTAATTCGCTCATCAAGCGCAGCTACCTCCCACCAGTTGGGGGTTCTATCCTCAGAGGCATCCTTCTCCTGACAAGCATCCTCGCTGTCGCTATGCGAGGACGGCGGTGGAGTGGGCTGACTCATCAAGAACCGCGACTTGTCATCGCCAATCTTGCGCCGGAACAAGTCGAGATCCCTCAGGAGTCCTTGCATGCGCTCCTGCATGTCATGCGCACCGTTCTCTGGCTCATAGTCTTCCGCATACTCGCCCGCCGGCGAGCCTGGCTCTCCCGAGGCGTACCCATCGTCTTCGACTTCCTCCGTTCCTTCTGCAGCCTCTTTGTTCTTATTATTCTGCTCTTCGTTTTGCACGCCACCGGCCGGCACTCTGATCGGATTCTTCAACGCCTCAACGGCCAACCGCAAATGCATCCGCAACGCCTCATTCTCCGTCTGTAAGCTCCGAATCTTCCCCTCGGCCACCAGTGTCCTTTCCTCCATCAACTCCTGCAAGTTTCTCACCCTGGCCTGGTACTCTTCCAGCTTCTCTTCCGCTTCGCGCGAATCCTTCTCGAACCGCCGTCTACTATCCCCGACAATCAGCTGCAACTGCCGTATCTCCTCGGCCATGGCTGCAATCTGGGCGTCTCGCTGCGCGCTGCTGATGTTCTCGCGCTGGTTGACGACGGCGCGCGTGCGGATGCGCTTCGCTTGGTCGGCGTAGCGTAGCGTGGAGAGGGTTTCTTCGTAGTCGGAGGGGGAGATGCAGGCGATCATGGCTGTTTTGGAGTTGCCTCCGAGAGAGTCTTTGAGCAGCCAAGTGAGGATGCTGTCGCGGTAGGGGACGACTTTGTCGCGATGGCCGTGGCGGGAGCGCTTGGGGTCGGCAAGGGCTGCGATCACGCGACCGAGGGTTGTAAGGGATTTGTTGATGTTGGAGCCTTCACGGAGACGCTGGCCTGTGGCCTCGGTAGCTTTGGCCCGTTCGGAGCCAGCAAGGTCAACCAGACGGATGCGACTGCTTCGCTCGGTGGTCTCATCTGTTTCTAGGTCGTGATGTATTTGTTTCAGCATGATGGTGAAGACGGCGTGGCTGCGGCTACTGGTGTCGTTCATCTTGGTTGAGGCAGTCGTGCGGTTGGCGTCACCCATGCGCATGTAGCGCAGAATCTCGTCCAGGCTGCGGACAGGGACTTCAGTCAGGTCTTTTACGTAGGGTCCTTCGGTTGGTGACTCGCGAATCTTGAGATAATACGGGGGCTGGCCGGGGACGACGGGAACCAGTAGGTCGCGGACATGCTCGTTGTACACCTCGAAGTAGGATACCCGAACATGATAGGTGACATTTGGCGATTCCTGGCTGGCAACAGCAATGCGCTGGAAGAGATCCTCGCAAGTTCGGGGAATCAGACCTGGGTTTTCGGGGGTGCCCATCATGGTGTAGGATTTGCCCGAGCCGGTCTGGCCATAGGCGAAGATGCAGGTGTGGTAGCCTTCGAAGTTGTGATCCAGGAACTCCTCGCCCAAACAGTCATAGATATCTTCCTGCGTGGCATAGCGCGGGTCGGCGGGGTTGTGGCTCCAGAAGGACTTGTCGAAGGTAAATGACTTGTTCTCAATCACTTTGCGCGAGTGTGCTCGCACGTTTGCTGGGTCATAACCATTCGGCGGTTTCAGTGTTGTTCGGTTGGTGACGGGATCCATCTCAACGAGGCATTCGGCGCCGCGCTCGATTTCTGTCGAATTGTCAGTACCATCGCCATTGTCATTGATCCAAGATGATGAGGAGCATACCCCGTGGCAAAAATGCCCTCACCCTCACCACAACCTTCACGTTGCCGCCAATACTCGAAGGAAGAGTGCCATCGAGCGAGCGCAGCGGCGCGCTGCTCGCGGTGGAGCGAACAGGAGGAGCATGCATGGGCCTCGACGATGAAGCCGACGAAGCAGCCCGCGACCCGCCGCCATCAGAGTAGTGATAGCTATGGCGGGCCGCGTAGGGCAGGCAGCCTGCGTTGTTCGGCATCAGGCGCGGGTAAGGCGAGATGCCAATCAAGGTCTCATTGATGTCGTTAACCACGTCGCGGAAGCGCAGCTGGTGGTTGCTGTACATGGGACGGGGAAGATCCAATTCTCAGAAGACAGCCATGGAAAAGTAGTGGAGTTGTCGCGTGGGTGGTAGTTGCGGAAGTGGGTTGGTGGGTTCTGGTTGGACCAGTCGTGGCTCGTTGCTTGCTTTGATTGGTGTCGGCGCGGCCTTGCAATTGTTTACATTTGTCGAGCGGCTGCAGTTGCCAGGGTGAGCGGATGGCGGAACAGGGGTTGTGCAGGCAGCGTCAGGGTTGCCCCACCCCGCGACGGGAGCGCTAAGATCGGCAAGTGGAGCGCGGGGATGTAGGTCCCACCGAAATGCGAAGCTTTGACGCACACCCCTCACCTCAAAACATCAGCATCGGGCCGCTGACGTTCAAGAGGTTCTTATAAATAGTCTATGGACACTCTGCTGTGAAATGATCAAAACTGAGTTCCATCATCCTTGTCATTTCGCCCCAGGAATAGGACGATTAAGAGTTTCTGGGTCCAAACAATCGTGGGAACTACTCGGCAAAAACCTCTGCCCTTCAGGTGACACTAGAAAGCAAACACAAGCCTCTTGTTGGACAGTTTTAATGTTGTGAAAGGTAAATGGATGTCTATTTCCGAGACACTTTTCAGGCGCTTCGTACGAAATCCAACGTACCTCTTCAACATCAAACGTCTTATTTATGCTTATTCTGCCTACTCCATACTGAACGCCCATTCCCCGTAGTTAACCCTAACCCTGCTTTAATTATCCGGGTATCATCTCCCAGCTTCCCTCTACACCCCCTTTACTACTTCGATCAAGTCTTCAAAAATCGGCCCTTAACGAACAAATTTTGAGTCTTACAGGCACATCAAATCCTTCATTCACAACCCCTTTGTCAACAACCTCCCCACCTGCCCCACAACTTCATCCACACCATCTCCAAACTTCCCTTCCTTCCCCTTGACAACCTCCCCGGCCTCCAACGCCCTTACGCAATCCGCCACCGCCCCGTCCACATCACACTTATACACCAACCACCCCAGCGCACGCACCATCCCCTCAAGTGCCTCACCAGACTTTTCCTCATTCCTAATCCCCTCAACCACAGCCGCGGCTAACTCGAGCTGTTCCCCCTCAGGCAATCCCTCATACGGTCGTGAGGTGGTATTGGACGAAGGGGAGATGTGCAAGTTTTGGTTCGCCAATGCAAGGTTATACAACAAGCTCGCAGCCGCGACGCGGGCTCGGGAGTGGGACGTGTCGAGGAGGGACGTGGTCAGGAGCTGAGTGATGCCCGAGAGGAGGTTGGGCGAGGAAAGGATGTGGGGGGGGTAGAGAGGGGAGGAGAAGAGGTTTGCGACGAACTGAAGGGTGACAAGACGGAGGGGGTAAGAGGAGGGAGATTCCGGGTCGGTAGTGTTGACGTGGGTTAGGATCGAGGAGATGGTGGTGTGGGATGAGGGGGTTTCTTCCTCGGCGAGGAGACCGCTGACGCGAGGGTCGGAGAGAGCAGCGCGGAGGAGGTCAATTAGTGGGAAGAGGTTGTCTGCGGGGAGGGAGGACAGAGAGTTTCGTAGAAGTGTGGTGAATGCGGCCAGATTGGGTAATGGCGCTTCGGCTGGGCCTTGGGATGCTCGGGATTCGAGAAAGTGGATGAGAGCCTTCACGGCTGGGTCCGATGCAGCATTGCCAAGTTTAGAGAGAACTTTATCCAAGGGAGGTGTCTTTGAGAAGATGACAGGCTTGTTGCTTCCTGGGTTGGAGAACATATGCAGACCGAGCTTCTCATGTGGGTGCGGCGGCCATGCCATCTGCACCAGAAGTTGAACATTTCCGCGTAGAGCAGCCGGATCGGCTCCAGACCAGCGATTCTCCTGCTTTCCTTTGAGAAAGGTTATAAAGGTTGGTGTTGCCGTAATGGCGTATCGGGCACCAACGTCAAAAGCCTGCGAAACATCGATTTTGATCAGGGCGCCTTTCGCACCGATCTCGGCCGCTAGGGAATCATACAGAGGGTAAAGCAACTTGCAAGGGGGGCAGGTCGCGCTGGTAAAGAAGACCACAGCACACGAGCTCTGGTATTTCGCCAGCAGGTCGTCGAGCTGAGATAGGCTGGAGACATTGTGTACCTTGCCAGGATGGTGGTGTAGCTCGGATTGAGGTCTGACTGAGCTGCCGGGGGTCTGTTGCTGGATGCCGAGAATGCCTCCTCGTTGCTGTTTAGTTGCCCGGACTTGCTCGTTCAGCATGGGCATGATCATCTGCCCGAGGGGGGACTCTCTGGACGAGGTGAATAAGCCGGCTTCAAGATGGGCTCGGGCGGTTTTAGGGGAACTCACAGCACGGCCTGTGGCATATTGATGATGTGCTCAGGGATGCCCTTTCCCAAGAGGAACATGGCAAAGTCGTTGGAGAAGTTGTTGCAGTTGTGCCGGAAGAGATCATAAGCCTGAGAGCGTGAGTGAGGAATGATCTTGGTACACTTCAAGAGTTGGGCACCAACCTCAACGGTATAGATCTCACGGAGGGAATCAAGATACTCTTCTATGACGTCCATTGGCACTTCTCACGTTAGAAAGAATATCCATGGCGCTGTTTTGTTTGCGAACATACACTCCGTCTTCCCCAGATACATCCTCTGGAGGGGTTGCCCAAGATGGGAGGTCCCCGGAACGATATCGACGATATTGCCGTCGTATACGTACTCCCGTCCTTGGAGTTCGATGGATGTGTGATAGATAGCGTCCAACTGAAATCCGAGCAGATCTATCGACATCTGGCGGGCCAGACCTCTGGAGAGGTCGTATATCAGGAGATGGACGTCCATGCTCAAGTCTTAAGTCTGATTTGATCTCTAAAGCCTGAAAGGAGATGCGCCGCTGGGAAGATACCGATAGGATTTTTTTTGTCGTTATAAGGTTTAAAGTCAAGCTAGGTAGTGTAAGCTGCTATTATGAGTCCAGGTGAATTCTCAACTTGTACAAATTTGTAGCGCGTAGGTTGTTGAAAATGGGATGTTGGGTTCCTCAGACCTCAAACTCACATGAAAGAAACAGGTAGAAAGAATGACAAGCCAAGGGAACTTGGTACGGTAATCTGTATCTTACACTGTCGCGATTGCTGCTTTTGCTACATAGTATACTTTTGGCGCTTACACGGTGTTTACCAAGCCTCTAGGGGCAGAAGTGTGTTATCCAACCAATTGGAATGTCGCCTATCGATAAGAGACGGTCCCTTACGTCACTTACGCACTGTTTCAGGCTGCAGCCGTTACGCGCGACGCGTCCGCTTGTCCACGAGCCTCGGGCTCAAAGCTCAATCACCTTCTCTGGGTCATATCCCTCCGCGTGGCCAAAGTACCCTTTTTGGTTGGTGACCAGCCTCAGTGGAGGCACTTTCTCTCCGAATACCTTCAAAAACGCAAACTTGTCTCGTTTGACCATCACATCACAGTTATAGTGCGTGTGCCCAAACGCCCAAACCTTGACCTTCGGCGACCGGAAGCATATCTCGTCCCTCAGATCCGTCGCGAACGCAGTTGAGATATCACTCCCCTTGTGCCTGGCATCAATAGTTCGCTCGTCGACTGAGGGGTTCCAGTGCGTTGCAATCATGATGTCTACATCTTCCTGCTCCAGCTCTTGCACCTGCGCGTTCAGCCATTCCACATCCCGCTGGTGCGCCGCGTTGTGCTGGTCCAAATCCCAGTTGCGGATGTACTTGAAGTCGTTGAGTTTGGAGCCAACTGCTTTGCGGTTTCTCTCTGGGACGTGAGAGAACAGGCTGCAACCGAGAATGACAACCTTTGAGTCTGGCACTCTGAAAACAGTGCGATCGAGCAGGACAAAGGTGCCTAGGGAATCGTCCTTCGCGACGTCGTCTTCAAAGGCCCGCAAAGTCTCTAGCGTCTCAGGCCAGCTGTAATGATACGGCTCATGGTTTCCGGGAACGAGGAGCACAGCGCGGAATTGCCGGAGATGATTGGTGAGAAAGGCAAGATAGTCGCCTTTGTGTTTGGGGATGTTGCCGATGTCGCCTAGGAGGATGAGGTATGGCGCTTTTGGGGGGATGGTTAAGGTGTGGTAACTTCTGGTGGCCTCTAGGTGGATGTCGGAGTGGATTTGGAAGAACATTGGTGACTGGCTTGATAGACTGAAAATCACTCAGATACTGCGTACTCGACGGATGAGAACGTTGACACGAGTGTCGGAGAAGAGAACTCAAGCCATTTTCGAGCTAGAAGCCTATCCTACAGGCCAGCTGTAAGTTACCGCAAAGGTAGAAAATTACCGTCCCTGTCCAGATCTCCGGGAGGGCCCGGCCCTTTAGCAGAACTGGATCGGTACACATGTTTCACGCATTTCATTGGATGAAACGTGGCTGTCAAGCAGGGGTGCGACAGGGGCCAGCAAGTCCATGCAGGTCTTCCACTGCCATTTTGTGTCTCCAATTTTGGGTTCTCCCCCCCCCCCCCTTTTACCTTCGATTTCGCAGCAGCCCTGGTGCCCGGCTCAACGCCCTTGAGAATCGTACACTTTTTTTCTGCTTTCCCAGCTGCTAATGGCGTCGTTCGACACTCGCTGAAACGTCCACACATCCTCCTAAATCTCGGCCAGTTCGCCACCTGATATGTACGACTCAGGTCTCGCCTCGGTATCGTAACTTAAGACAGCTCCATCTCCCGCTCTCCTTCTCCTATGCGACGAACGTCGGTATCCCAGCCGACGAAACAAAAGCCTATCACCGCCCACGATCCCCACGAGAAGCCTGCCCGCTACTCCCCCAGTAACCCGAAGAAACCGACCTTGTTGGTCAAGATGCAGTCCGCCTGGGGCTCCCAATCGCAACGCGCCCGTTACTTCAAGACGGGCGCCATTGTCTTTGTTCTCTTCATTCTCTTCTACTACCTCTCCCCGTCCGGCGTCGACCTTGCGAACCCCAACAGCCACGCCAGCGGCCAGCCTGGCCAGAAGCCCGTTGACCCCGCCCTCGGTACTGAAAAGTGCACGCGCGCCTACTCCAAGGACAAGCCGCTCATCCAATATGTGCTCATGATCGACGCCGGCAGCACCGGCTCTCGTATCCACGTCTACAAGTTCAACAATTGCGGTCCCGCCCCTGAGCTCGAAGCTGAGGTGCTGTTCAAGCAGACTGCCAAGATTGAGGGCCAGAGCAGCGGTCTCAGCGCCTACAAGGACGATCCTGAAGCCGCTGCCCGTAGCTTGGACCAGCTCCTGGACGAGGCCGTCAAGGTCGTGCCCGAAAAACTGCAGGGCTGCAGCCCGATCGCGGTAAAGGCCACGGCCGGCCTGCGGCTCATCGGCCCCGAGAAGTCCCAGAAGATCCTCGAGGCGGTCCGCAACCGTCTTGAGACGAAGTACCCCTTCCCCGTTGTCTCTCGTGAAGAGAACGGCGTAGCGATCATGGACGGCTCGGACGAGGGTGTGTATGCCTGGATCACGACCAACTACCTGCTCGGAAAGATTGGCGGCCCCGACCCAGACGAAACAGCCGCAGTGTTCGATCTTGGCGGCGGCTCTACTCAAATCGTCTTCCAGCCCAGCTTCGAGGGCCTCAAGTCCGGCGGCATGCCCGACAAGCTCGCCGACGGTGACCACAAGTACGAGCTCGACTTCGGCGGCCGCAAGTTCACGCTCTACCAGCACTCCCACCTGGGCTACGGCCTGATGTCCGCCCGCGAAGCTATCCTGGCCACTCTCCTCGCCGACCTGCACGAAGCGCACAAGGCCTCCGGCTCGACGGAGTGGATCCACAAGCAGCCCATTGTCAACCCATGCTACAGTGCCGGCATGTCTAAGGTGGCCAAGGTGCCCATCCCCTCAGACCATCCCCTCGCTGCGCTCGCGACCAACGGCAAGCTGGAAGTTAACATGACCGGCCCGGAGGTTGGCGCCCCGGCACAATGCCGTAGCCTTGCCGAGCGTATTCTCAAGAAAGATGCTCCCTGCACGCTGACGCCATGCTCTTTCAATGGCGTGCACCAGCCAAGCATCGCGAAAACCTTCGCCCGCGAGCCAGTGTACTTCCTGTCGTACTTCTACGACAGGACCCAGCCGCTCGGCATGCCGTCGTCCTTTACCCTGCGGGAGATGGCAGACCTGGCAGCGCGAGTGTGCGGTGGCAAGAAGGAGTGGGATGTTTTCACTAGCATTCCAGGCGCCATGGAGGAGCTGAGCGATAGGCCGGAGCATTGTATGGATTTGAACTTCATGGTCGCGTTGACGCATACTGGGTATGAGATGCCGATTGATAGAGAGGTGAGAATCGCGAAGCAGATTAAGGGAAATGAGCTTGGGTGGTGCTTGGGGGCAAGGTGAGCTTCTTTCTTCCTCGGAATTTGCCATTGGGGATTCGGTGCTAACTGTTTCACAGCTTGCCGCTTCTGTCTAAGGGATCGGGTTGGCAGTGCAAGGTGAAGGAGATTCATTAAGTCACGAAAGTCAAAAACATCCAGTCCGGCCCAGGAGACCGCGGCCGGGAAAGTAAGCGAGAGATGGATAGAATCAGCATTGGCGTTACAAGAGGGACGAAGGATTTTAAGTGTTTTCATGGCATAATTGATCGTTACTGTACCGGCGGGGAACAGCCTTGGGATCAAGAAGGTATGGCCTGGCAGAAACAATGGACGGTTTGGTTCATCGGGGCACTATTGAGATAGTCTTGTAATAATCCCGGATGGGTTTTCGGTTTCTGCTCTGCGCCATTTCAAGCCTTGTACCATATTCGGTACTGCTTGTGGGAACCGGATATTTTTGGGCCGTAGTGTTGTAGGCTTCCACAAATGCTCTGTCATCCGCGGTATGCCTACCCGTCCTATTACAATTACCCAAGGTATACAACTCCAGATGATACCAAAGCTCTATGCATATCATCCAAAGAAACTTATTCACATCAACCCCCATCTACACCCCTCAAGCCTGATCTCTCTCCTTCGACCCTCCGTCGCCCGTGTCCCATTATTAATCCCCCTCCCCTTTACCCAGGGACCCCAACAACCCCCAAAACCTCTTCCAACACCCCTTCCACAGTCCACCCCGCCATAGCCTCCCTCACGGCCTCCAAATCCCCTCCCCACTGCACGCTTCTCTCCCCCTCCGGCTCGCTCACCAGCCCAAGCCGATGTAAATACACCTTCCTCACCGCCATCGCCACCAACGAGGGCGTGACATAATCTATCCCATGTAATGCCGCCAGCGAACGAGACAACTGTTCAAGATGTCGTGTCGCGGTGGGCGAAACCCCGCCTGCTACGGCGCGGTGAGTTCGCAGGAAGGTGATTATGTTGTGAGTGTAGCGCAGGACGGCGGGGGAGATATAGGCTGCTGTGGAAGCCAAGGAGAGCTGAGAGATGTCGGTTGGGGTGAGTAACGGGGTAGGTGATGAGGCTTCGGGGTCAGAGCTGGGCGTGAGCAGAGAGGGGTGTCGTTGGAGAGGAGGAGGGAGGTTGGTGCTGGAGACGGTGCTGATCATGCTGCTATTGGAGCGGCTGAGCCAGCGGCGGCGAGAGCTTTGCCGGCTTGCAGCTTGATCAGGGCCTTGTTGGTTTTGGGTTGAGGAATGAGAGGGATGTTTGACCAGCACGCTGGTTGTCGATAAGGAAGATATGCTTCTGCCGTCAGCGTCATTATTGTCACCATTATTACTAGCGTCGTCATTCCTGATTCCGTCTTCATCTAACTCCCCCTCGAGATGAGGGAACCCATCCTCATCTGGGTCGTGCCAGTGCCCAATGTAGAAGAAATCGTTTAGATGCGGCGTCACGCGTGCCTCACCGCCGCTATTGGCGCCTACGAGGGCGATGAAGAGGAATTGTTTAGGTGCGGTCTGAACACTGGTCCGAGTGAAAATGCGCCGTGTCCGTAGAAGTTCCAATGCTTGAATCTGCACTACCCTCGGGGTCAAATGCAGGTTTTTCGCCAAAATGATGTTGGCAATGCGTGGAGGCTGGGATGCACTCATCACAGGAGGACTCATCGACGGGTTATGTCGCGGTGAGGAGCTTACTCCGGCGGAGAGGAAGTATCCTCCTCCTCCTCCTCCTCCCTCCCTCCCTCCCTCCCTCCCTCCTGCTGCTGCTGCTGCTGCTGCTGCTGCTGCTGCTGATGAGGATGGGCCAGCTGTCGACGACGTTTGTCCCTGATGCTCATAGTGCCTTGGACGGTAAGGAGAAACGGATAGCGTATTGACCGACGGCGAGGACGCTGGACAGGGAACCAGCAAGCCAGTGGCAAACTCATCGAGAGTCATGTGCTTGTGACAAGAAATGATGGAGGCTGTTAGGCCAAAGGTTTTGGAAGCGACAAGGGAAAGCTCGGCAGCGAGGTCGTCGATGCTTGAGGGGTGGGTGCTGATGAGGCAGTGCTCGCGGGCGATGAGGCAAAGAAGAGTTGCCAGCTCGAGGTCGGTAAGCGTGTGTACTTTGGCAAGAATGTCGTCCATTGTGAAAGTGCCGCATCGATTAAATCAGCTACCTATGTCCTGTATGCCCTGTATACCTTGTAGAACTACCGCCGATGTCTCTGTGCCCTCCGCCTATTCCTGCAAGTAGAGACAGGTCTAACGATGCCATGAAGAATGGACTGCTCTGCCAGGCTGCTAGTCAGATGGAATTACCACAAGTGTCAGTCCACTAGTGAACAGCTCCTGGCAGCAAGTCAGCGTCAGCTGGACATGGTCGTTGTCCGCTTGCAGGTTTTTCCAGTCGGCGTAAGGTTGTTGTAGCGGAGCTATGTCATGTCGATGCTTGTTTCTCGTATTTATAAACTGCCAGTCGGTGCCAAATGGATTTCGACTTTAGGTCTCACTATAACACCAGCAATAATGTATACCCAGACGATGTGGATGGAGATGGAAATGGTGTGCTGTGAATGTGGTTGCGGACGCAGACGCGTAGTGTTGCGGTGTTGCGGTTGTATGTCCACTGGTGATGCATCGATGGAGTCCATGAGTGGGTCGATGATGCAAGAGAAGAGTGGATCTACCTTATCGCTTGCTTGCCAGGGTCAAGTTTCAAGCAGGCCACCAATTTTCGTGAGGTGTGATTGGCTGAAACGCAATCAGGTGCCTGCTTTCAGTGCAGCGCAGCCAGTTGGGGGCGGATGAGGAGCCAGCGAGGAGCCAGTGAGAGAGGGTGCCTCGGGCCGTCGTCGTCACTCCCACCAGTGGTCTCCTGTGACCTGCTGCAATCCAAGGCCAGCCATCCATCAGCCATCAGCCATTCTGTCCGCCTTCTGCATCACCAGCCTCCGACCTGGCTTGCCTCTTCGACTCAACCTTCGGCCAAACCAAAACCGACTGCTGTTGTTCCGTCTCCCATTTGCCTTCTTCCTCTGCTGCTGCCGGTCACAGCGCCATTGTTTGGAACCGACACCGGATTTTTGTAAATTCTCAATACCTCCGCTCCAATCAACAAAGCCTATTCTCGTGATAGCGAATCCTGTTGTTTATCCCTCCCCATCACTCGTGCAGTGCAGTGCAGCCTCTCAGTCCGATCCCACAGCCATAGCAGACAATAGCCATGTCGTCCAGGAAGAAGGTGTTGCTGAAGGTGCGCATGGCTAGCAATACCCCGCTGCCCCTCTTTGATAAGGTCCGGGCATAGTGCTCACTGACTGGAACAGGTCATCATCCTTGGCGATAGTGGTGTCGGCAAGACGAGTTTGATGAACCAATATGTATGATTTCCGCCCAACGCCCAACCCATCCAACCATTTAAAGGATGCCATTTTTGACACAGCGCAGGTCAACAAGAAGTTCAGCGCTAGCTACAAGGCGACTATCGGCGCCGATTTCTTGACTCGGGAGGTCATGGTGGACGATCGCCAGGTGACAATGCAGGTGCGCGACCCTGGCAAACATTTTTGTTGTGAACTTTAAGCTGACGCCGAGTAGCTCTGGGACACAGCAGGTCAGGAACGCTTCCAGTCGCTCGGCGTGGCCTTCTACCGCGGCGCTGATTGCTGCGTGCTGGTTTTCGACGTCAACAATGCTAAGAGCTTTGATGCGCTCGACAGCTGGCGCGATGAGTTCCTGATCCAGGCTTCCCCTCGCGACCCTGAGAATTTCCCGTTTGTCGTGCTCGGCAACAAGATCGATGTTGAGGAAAGCAAGCGCGTCATTTCAACCAAGCGCGCCCAGACTTTTTGCCAGAGCAAGGGCGGCATCCCCTACTTTGAGACCAGCGCGAAGGAAGCGATTAATGTTGAGGAGGCTTTCCAAGGTGTGTACTCCTGCTTTGGGATGATGTTGTGCTTCTGCTGACCCATACAGTTATTGCGCGTAACGCACTCATGCAGGAAGAGTCAGAGGAGTTCAGTGGCGACTTCCAGGACCCAATTAACATTCACATCGAGAACGAACGGGATGGGTGCGCTTGCTGAGGTAGTGTGGGGGGGGGGGTCGATAAGAGCAGCTGAAGAGGGTTCCTTTTTTCCCATGATTTCTCGGTTTCACATCGGAGTTCTGCTTTGTATGATATCATTCATGCGGAGTGTCGCGTGGTGTTTATTGACGGGGCTTGGGCTACGGACCATCGTTGAGCACGTTGGTGTATGTGAATTGCTGGTTGTTTCCAAGGTTGACAGCATGGTTGGACTCACGAGCTGTGTCTTATACCAGTCATAATGGAGAATGAGATTTCACATATGTCAGCCTACTTGTCTCTCAAACTACTAGTCTAATGCTACAGCAAGGTATCTCGATATATTAGATCAAATCCGATCGGACATCGCGCATGCTCCTGAATATCACTCTCGTACATTACCCTAACCCTGATCATGTGGCCAGTAGAGCTCTCAGCTCCAACCTGGAGGTAAACCCTGATTGTTTCATCTTTTGTTGCTTCCCGTTGGCTGTTTGAGCCTGGTGGAGTCAGACCCTGAAGGCTTTCCCCCGCACTGGCAGGGGTCACAAAGCGGCTGCAGGGGCCTAGGTTACAAACACCACGACGCTCCTCCCTTGGACCGCGACAATGCGTTGCACAGTTCCTTCCCTCCCATCAGGCTGTCTCGGACAGAGTCCTCTTCCTTCCCTTTCGTTCATATTGACTCTTCTTTCTTTTTTCTCTTCATCTTTTTCTCCATCGCACAGCCCTCTTTTCTGCCGACCGACGGAGCTGGCCCCATTTTCGACCTTCTCGTTTCCCTGATAGTCCTGCGGACTTTTTTTTGGAGCTTCATTTTCGTTTTCCTTGAAGGATGCTTTAAACTGGCAGGGCTTTTCGCTCCTTGTAGTCCGGGGCCGAGCCTGCACTCGAGAACGTTGATTTAGCGTCGAAAAGAAGCCCGCTTACCGAGCTGATTCCCTCTCGATACCCCCGCATATGAATAGAGACGGAACTTACGGGTCCGAGTTTCCAAGACTTCGAGGCGAAAAAACGGAACATCTGGCGGATATCGACACCAGACACCATCACAATGACGGCTCCTTACCCTGTGTCAGATCACAACCCTCGCCACGACGCCGACACCCCGTATCACCATCAACCCGCCCGCGCACACACCCACTCTCGGCGCAGGTCGCTCTCGGGCAGCATGGGCTTGCTTGCAGAATCCGGGAAACTCGCTGAATCAGACATCATCGGAGTCCAGATCCAGAGCACAACCACCGGCATGAACTCCGAGACAGCAGCAGCGCGCAGTTTAAACCAGTCCCTCTCTAACCGATCGCGCCGGAGCACCGTGAGTAGCGGCATCAGTAGCTTCAGCGCCTCGAATAGCATCCGGGATAGACTTGGCCTTGGAGGAGTGGCACGCCGGACACTCGGGATTGGGTTGCTGCTGGTTGTGGTGTTGTTATGGACTATTTCAAACTTTCTCGCGAGTGTAAGTTTATGTTATGAGTTGAAAGGTGATGTGGATGCTGATTTCGCAGTACATCTTCTCTGATGGCACTTACGACAAGCCATTTTTCCTCGTCTACGTCAACACCTCATGCTTTGCCATCTCGCTCATCCCCCTGGCCGTGCGATACGTGATTCAACACGGCTTGGGGGCGTCCATACATGCCGTTGTTGCTCTGTGGCGCGAGTGCCGGGGTATGACCCCCCTCAAGACCCGGGACGATGAGGCAGAAGATGCCCAGCGGCTGCTCGTCGAAGAAGACGCTAGTGTCGCCGACTCGGCTAGTTCTGCGCCTCCAAAAGACGAAAAACTTGGCCTGCTCGAAACTGCCCGGTACAGCGCCGAGTTTTCGTTGCTCTGGTTCTCGGCCAACTACTTTGCCTCCGCCTGTCTGGAGTACACCAGTGTAGGCAGCGTGACGATTTTGACGTCGACTAGCAGCATCTGGACTTTAATCTTCGGCGCTCTAATGCGTGTCGAGCGATTCAGTCTTCGGAAACTGCTTGGTGTTCTGGCATCACTGGCTGGTGTCATCCTGATCTCGTCAGTGGATCTGTCGGGCGCTAGTGACGATAACCGCGGCAGCTTTCCGCACAAGACGACGGTCGAGATTGCGATTGGCGATGCGATGGCTTTCTTCAGTGCCATTTTGTATGGTGTGTATGTAACGGTGATGAAGAGAAGGGTTGGAAACGAGGACAGAGTTAATATGCCACTCTTCTTTGGGCTCGTTGGCCTGTTTAATGTCCTGTTCCTCTGGCCAGGGTTCTTTATCTTGCATTGGACTGGCATCGAGCCCGTAAGTATTCCAGCAGATGGCCTCCTCGCGACTTGGTTGCTAACTATGTCAGTTCGAACTTCCCCCCAGCAGCAATGTCTGGCTCATCATTGCCGTAAGTCCTCCCTCGCGCATTTCTCAGGCTGTCAAATCTAACTGTTTTAGTTCAACTCTGCCGCCTCTTTCTTTTCCGATATTCTCTGGGCGTACGCCATGCTGCTGACTACCCCGCTAGTTGTCACCGTCGGCCTGTCGCTCAACATCCCGCTGTCGCTCATCGGGGAAATGATCCAGTACGAGCAGTATTCCAGCGGACTGTACTGGCTGGGTGCCGCGATTGTGTTCGTGTCATTCTTGTTTGTCAACCATGAGAGTAAGGAGGGAGATGAAGGAGGAGAGGGGGGGAAGAAGGGGGACGGGGTTGTTTAAGGGGCGAGTTGCGAAGGCAGAGGGCTTCTTTCTTTGTTTTCCCTTCGAATGGGGCGGTTCTCTAGGTTGGGTTTGAGATGCCGGGAAATTGCATTTACAGCGTTATTTGGAACTTATCATCAACAACAGCTGGGCTTTTTGGTTTATTCGAGCTTGCCCCTGAAAGGGGTGTCCGTTTGCCGTGCATGGGGGAAAAGGTATCTGGCTTATGCTGTGATTTGTATCCTGCTTGCTCCAGACGAAACTCCCGAGCGTCAAGGATGTTGTTGCGATGTGCTTTTGGTAGCAGCCACCGTGTCCTTGGCTGGTCACCACTTCTCGCCTATGGACCATGACTGGTCTTTTTGTCCGTAATGGGTAGGTACACGAAGAATCAGGGTAAGCTTGTGAGACAAACAACAAGCTTTCCTTGGAACAGCCTTGCAAACTCATACTTCCTCTTCAATGCTGGGTTGAGCCCTGATCATTTGGCATGCAGTGGGTCAGTATCATTGAGAGAAGGTTCATTCCGTGGTATTGGAGTGTCGTGTGTCCCATATCCAGACTTGAGTAAGCCTCGTACTCACATGCACCTGTTCAATGATAACACAATGCACTCTCCAGTATCATGTCGACTGAACAAAGATAAGACAACAGTTTATGATATTCAACTTTGTTTGTTGAAAAAAAAATCGTTTAGTTGCTCTTGAGATTAATGAATTCGTTTTAGTGTTAAATTTTAGATATACGGCACCCGTATCATCATTATCATCTTTGACTGAACCAAGCGAGAAAATTCGAACAATGTCCTGCTCCTACAGAACCTATTAATCAATTAGCTCGCAGGGGGAAAAAAATCACCTAAATTCCTATCCTCCCTTGATTCCATCATCTTGTCACAATGTCAGCTACTCGATCCGACCCAGGGCCAATGCCCCCTATTCCCATTCCCCCACGAACGCGACGATTCCCAGAAAACCCTCTCATTGGAGAGGAGATTAACAACGCCACACGGACCATACATACCAAGCTGAATCAGATGGTTTTAGAGCGGTTTCCATTGGCCTTACCTCCACATGCTCACAACCCAGGGGCATATGTCACAGGGTTGCTTCATATCGCCTGCGTGTACGAGATGTTGGAGCACTGTTAGGAACGGGTGTTGAAGGAGCTGGATGTCAAGGATAAGGAAAGTCGGGAGGGGTGGAATGGTGATTCAAAGAGTGATGAGAATGAGAAGACTGCGGGACTTAGAAGGAGGAGTTTCAGGTCTTCGGAGAGTGAGGCGAACGTTGGGAGTTGGAATGGAGCAGAAGATATGTCCAGCAACGGTGGCACTCCATCAGCAACAATCTCTACTGCACGCCGATGTCGCCCAAGCTCAGAAGACAGTGGCATTGACAACTTCCGTCGCCGGACAGGGGCGCGTTGTGCCTGTCTACCACCACAGCTCCAGCACCAGCAGCGCTTGCCGATGGCTCTATCGCCATCCCACACGCCACCGCAATCCCGAATGCTGACACTCCTTTCGACGTTGTATCTCCCTTCACTCTTGCGTAGGCATTCGATACGCAAGGATATCAGGGCGCTCACCTCTTGGTCGGAGGAGAACTTGGACGAGGAGCTGCGCTTGATTTCTCAGGGACTGGGCCAAGGAGGGAAGGGAACCACAGGGCACCAACATCTTCCTTCATTTTTGGCCCATATTCGCCGTTGTGTGGAAAACAAGCCACACACTGTGGTTGCTTATGCGTGGGTGCTTTACCTGGTGCTTTTCTCTGAGGGGAGGATGCTGAGAAAATTATTGGAGAACTCTGTTCATCTCCATCAGGCTGATAATAACAGAAATGAGGAAAGCAGGCATCCTCCAGAGGCGGCATTTTGGCTCCAAGCTAGCCATGTCCTTCCTTGTGGTCGACAAATAGCCCCATCTCCACATCTCCTCGACCAAGGCTTGCCCTTATCGTTCTGGCAGTTTGATACAGGAGATAGGCCAGATGATACCCTCAAACGAGAGTTCAAACGCCGGCTGAGCAGTGTCGAGGGTCTATTAACACGACGTGAGAAAGACGATGTCGTGAAAGAAGCTGTGTGTCTTTTCGAGAACTTGGTGCTAGTGGTTACGCATTTGGACGGGGTGCTTGCTTCCCATACACCACCTTTTAGCTCCTTCTCTACGGATATGAGTGCGTCTAGAACTTTGGCTGAGAGGAGGGGATCGAGGACGACAAGACACCTGGCAATCCCTGAACGGAGATATTGTCAAACTACTCAGCAGCAACAAAACAGTAGGGTTGCACCGGCTATGGGGAACGACGAGAGTCGAGATGATCATGCACGCAGGGATAGCTGGGTTGATGTGCTTGGTACCCGTGTGAGAGACAGCATCGCAGTGGCCAAGCATCGTATGGAGAACAATAGAAGTGACAAGGGACCCAGTAGCGACGAGAAAGAGGCCAATATTGACAAATCCCCGTCAGAACTGGAAGCGCAACCTGGTACTCCATCAGCAAGCCATACTCATCTCGAAGACAACCGCGACGATGGAATTCCAGACTTGGCAGTCGTCCCTCCCTTACATGAGAGGTTGCACGGCTCTACAACATTGAGCATGACACCTATTATCACGTCATTATCGGTCTCAGCTCCATCATCAGAAACATCACCAACGACTCCCGACTCTTTAACATCACCCTCAACTTCCTCATCAGTATCAGCTCACCAGGGCCGAACGTCGACAAGAAGGAAGAGAAAAGTGAAGTTCGCTCCTGAGCCCAAGAGCCCAAGGCGGGAATCCAAGTGGAGGAAACCGTTGTCATCTCCGTCAGCTAAGGCACAGAGGCGCAGATGACGAAGAAGGGCTTGGATGGAAGGGGATGTTGTTTGCCTTGGTGTTGACTGGCGCTTGGATGGGGATTGGGTATTTCTGGGCTTGAGCAGAGCCAGATCAGGCATGGTAACAGCCTAGGTACCTAGGTACCTAGTGAATTGGGGTTATGTTGAGTAAGGGTCAACTTTGAGGCCAGGGGTACCTGATAATGTTGAACATCCTAAGCCGCAGGACCTAAAACATCACGACAACCGACAACCAAATCACCTAACATAGCACAAGCCTAGAGATAACGATACAAGCATGGTATCTAAACCTATCGTTCCAATTTTCCATGCTACCAGCCAGACCTAAGCGCCTTGCCTACCAATCAGAGATGTCAGGGGTATGGGGTATGATGATGATGAGCACCCTAACCTAGGTAAGATGCAAAAAAAAAAAAAAAGCCAACCAGCCTTCCGGCCTAACAAAGAACTAAGCACCACCTATACTTAACTTTAACCATAGGCTATGCTGCCTGCCATGACAATCCAGCAATCAAACGCTGTTAACCCGCTCAATGATGCAAGAAATCGCCCTGTCTACCAGGCGTAGGAAGCCTGGATGTTGCTCATCCAAGCAGTTCCAAACCAACCAACCACACTTCTCGACGCCAGGGCAGACTTTATGCCCCACATCCTTCGCTCCTCGGGTACCGTACCCTTCCATCCCCTCACCAGCGAACCGTACCTCAGGCACCCATCAACCACTCCTTCATTCATTCACCAATCATCCTCATCCCCGTCCCACGCATCCCCCACATCAGCCCAACCACACCCCCACCTCCTGCCGCCCGTCTCGCCACCAGTCCTCAAATCCCTTGCCACCTCCCGATCCTCGCTCCACAACCGCACAATAAAATCATCCCCAACCGTCACCAACCTCTCCCCACCACATGTCCATGCCACAGCACCCACCTCCTTGGTGTGACCCCGCACAAGAGGCGTACCGAGTGTGACGATGGGGACACTCTTGTTCGCTGCCTGCTGCTGAGAAAGGAAACTGTTTGACCGCGCCAACGCGGCGGTGTGTGAGCGCAGGCCGGGGCGGGAACTAGACTGGTTGGGCAGGCAGGCAGTTGGCGTGCCAACGTAGTAAGGTTCGGGATCGGCCCCAGAAGAGAGCCAGGCCTCGCGAATGTACCGCTCGTCGGTGGGGAAGAGGACTGCGCAGGCGTCGCTCGAGCCGACAGCTAGCAACTCGGAACGGCCATTCGAAACAGGACGGATCGCGGCCTTGACATAGAAGGAGGTCGCGTGGAAGAGGGGATGGCGGAATCCATATAAAGGAGCAAGCCCCCGGTGCGGGAGGCCGTGAGGGTGGTGTCTTCTGCGGGGAGGCTCGGCGCCGGGAAGGGCTGGGGTCAGCTCTGTTGCGTGGCCGAGAACGAGGTGCGCCGTGCTGTAGGCGTAGACGGTGTTGTCCTTGCAGAGAGTATACAGGCGCGTGCCTTCGTTGTTGAGCGCCATGGAGCAGATGCCGAAGGGGCGAAAGGAGACGTGCGACGGGGGAGGAGGTGTGCAGGACACGGGGGTCGAGGTGCGCGAATGGCGGGAGGTATGCACGGCGCGGATATCCCAGAGGCGGATGGACGCATCGGCTTCGCAGGCAGAGAGGAGGAGGTGTTCTTGGCCAGGGGGCAGGAATTGGAGAGCGGTGACTGAGACTTCGCCGTTGCGGTTGAGGACTTCGCCTAGGCGGGGAGCGTCGCCTGAGTTGGAGGGCTGTTGGCCTTTGGAGTTACGAGAATGAGGTGGAATTGCGTGCGCACGGTCAATGCTGTTGACGACGCAGCCTGGATTGGGAGGTTTCGGCAAGCGGTGATGGAGGCCTGTCTCAGGAACGATAGTAACGTCCTGGACGGGTCCGCCGCGGCAACGTAGATCCCAGATTTGGATGCTGCCGTCGCGGCCGGACGTGGCCAGCACGCAACTAGCGCCGCGACCGGGCTGGAAACGAATTTGTTTGAGGGAAGCAGTGTGGTGGCTTAAAACTGAAATGGGCTTCTGGGCCATAACATCGATCACACGACCAGTCTGGTCGCCTGATGCCGTGGCTAGCAGGTAGTCGTCTTCAGAGAAGGCCATATCAATGATGGCGTTCCCATGGGCTTGGAAAGATAGGAAGATCTGGGAGAACTCGCCATCTGAGTCCAGAAAGCGGACGTAGCCTTCCTCATCACCGACGGCCACCAGACTGTTTTCTGGACCGAGTTAGCCGGGAGTTTGTGAGGTTTATCAGCGAGCTGACTTACTGTTGCAGCCGGTCGTGCAAAAAGGAATGGCACGAGGAGCGCCTTCATGGCTCGAGGAGAAGTGGGTGTCTTCAGGTTTGCTATACCAGTCCGCCGTTTCCATGCGCCAGTCTGTTGGGTTAGCACGATAAAAGAATAGGCAAAATAACTCAACCTTACCAATAACAGGACACTGCAATGGCCGCTCGCCAGCAAACCGCATGGCTCCCATCATGCGCTGCACCAACTGTCCTGCCATACCACGCCGATAAAGGGGAGTGGGCCGCCTGACCAAGACATCCTCCTCGTCTTCATTCTCCGAATCCGACCTATCACTCTCAGCCTCATCTTCCACACCCCGGCGAGCACGTAACGAGCGGAGAGGGCTGCTCGGACCTTCCTTCAGCTCCGGAGTCGGCAGTAGGGGCGACGAGTTCAGAGGAGAGGGTAGGAGGCTCGACTCCTTGTCTGGGGTGTGATGAATCTTGCGGCGCTTTCCACGGTGGTCATCGTCAACATTGCGGGAATCCTCGGGGAGTTGCGGTGAGTTTTGATCCTCTGAAACAGGCTTCAGGGGGCTCGACGGGGTCTGGCAGCGGTTGAGGGCAGGGGCTGTGAGGTCGCAGAGGGCCTTGCGGGCGGCACTGGGCTTTGAGGGGATACGAGAACGGGGAGTGAAGAAGCGCTGGAACTTTCGGGGTGTGATGGATGGGTTGCGGCGTTCCTTGCGAGGCCTAGGCGGTGACGATGGGATGGTGCTGGCGGCGGTATTCGCAGAGTTGTTTGGGGTAAGATTCTCTGTCTGGCTTGTCGAGGTGTCCTCAATCACGATTTCGGGTTGGGATGATATCAATTGGGGTTGGGTATCGTTCATGTTGTCGGCACGCGTTCTGGAAGGAAAAGAAAAGGGAAAAAAAGACAAAAAGCTTAGAACAGATGCTAGAACTCTCTATGAATCGGCGGCCAATGACGGAGAACCCACAACACAAAGTGCGATACTGTGGAATCAGAAGCCGAGCATCATGGCTCTGAGGTGAAGATGGCGTGGGGAAGTGGATGTAAGTTGATTAAGAGGCTTGTGTCGGTCCTAAACGTTGAGTGGTTGGTCACGACGCGCTTCACGCTGAGTACGCGGTACACCGGAGCATGTCCAGGATCGAAGTCGAGCGCCAGCCGCGTCAGGCCAATCAGGAGCGCCAATCACGCCAAAGTGCCTGCAGCTGGACCCCACGGCTGCCAAGACTGCCTCATTTCTTATCTTATCGGGTGGCATTCAAAAAAATCAGAGTCGACGACACAGGAAACAAGCCACAAGCGACGTCGTCGATAACCCTCGCCCCATCGTCAACGTCGCCAGACCCCACGAACCATGGCGAAGACGCAGAAGAAGCACGGCAAGGGCCGTCTTGATAAGTGGTACAAACTCGCCAAGGAAAAGGGTTACCGCGCGCGTGCCGCCTTCAAGCTCATCCAGCTCAACAAGAAGTATGGATTCCTCGAGAAGGCCAAGGTCGTGCTCGATCTCTGCGCTGCGCCTGGCTCGTGGTGCCAGGTTTGCGCAGAGACGATGCCTAAGGACAGCTTAATCATTGGTGTCGATCTTGCCCCGATTAAGCCCATCCCCAAGGTCATCACCTTCCAGAGCGACATCACCACCGAGAAGTGCCGTGCCACCATCCGCTCGCACCTTAAGACCTGGAAGGCCGACGTCGTCTTGCACGACGGTGCCCCCAACGTCGGTACCGCATGGGTGCAGGATTCGTACAACCAGGCCGAGCTGGCCCTGCACTCGCTCAAGCTGGCTACTGAGTTCCTGATCGAAGGAGGTACCTTCGTAACCAAGGTGTTCCGCTCCAAGGATTACAACAAGCTCCTGTGGGTTTGCAACCAGCTCTTTACGAAGGTCGAGGCTACGAAGCCGCCATCGTCGCGTAACGTCTCCGCCGAAATCTTCGTCGTATGTCGCGGTTTCAAGGCGCCGAAGCGCATCGATCCTCGCCTGCTCGATCCTCGCTCCATCTTCGAGGATCTGGCCGACCCCGCCCCGAACAACGAGGCCAGAGTGTACAATCCAGAGCAGAAGAAGCGCAAGCGTGAAGGTTACGAGGAGGGCGACTACACCCAGTACAAGGAGACTTCTGCGATTGAGTTCATTAACACCACGGACCCGATTGCGATTCTCGCCAATTACAACAAGCTCAGCTTTGAGCAGCCTCCGAACGGCGACGTTGCCCTTGCCGCGCTCGAAAAGCTTCCAGAGACAACTAAGGAGATCCGTGCCTGCTGCGACGACCTCAAGGTGCTTGGTAAGAAGGACTTCCGTCTGCTGCTAAAATGGCGTCTCCGGGTCCGTGAAATCTTTGGCCTGCCCAGCAAAAAGACTGCCAAGCAGCAGCCGCTGGTCGAAGAGGAAGCCAAAGTCGAGCCGATGGACGAGGAGCTCAAGATCCAGGAGGAACTGGAGCGCATTAAAGAGAAGGAGCGGGCCAAGAAAAAGCGCGAGCGCCGTAAGGAAAACGAGCGCAAGCACAAGGAAATCGTCCGCATGCAGATGCACATGACGACGCCCATGGATATCGGTATGGAGCAGGAAGGGCCACGGGGTGACGGTGCTTTCTTCCGACTGAAGGAGATCGACCAGACCGATGCCCTGCGCAGGATCGCCAAGGGCAAGATGGCTATGCTCACAGAGGCCGAGCAGGCGGATCGTGACTCTGGTATTGGGTTGTCTCCCGATACGGATGATGATAGCGATGAGGATGGTGACCAGCTCGAACGGGAGCTTGACGCGATGTACGAGCACTACAAGGAGCGTAAGGCCTCGCAGGATGCCAAGTACCGCGCTAAGCGGGCCCGGCAGGAGGTCGATGATGAGGAATGGGAGGGTTTATCGGCAGACGAGAAGGGCAGTGATGTTGATATGGACGACGATGACTCAGAGAGGCTGGAGGAGGACAGCAGTGACGAGGAGGCCTGGTCAGACGACGAGGAGCTTGACACCAGCAAACCGCTGATCAAAGATCTCTCCGGTGCACCTCAAGATGGAAGTGGCTTGTCGAAGCGGGCCCGCGGCTTCTTTAGCCAGGATGTCTTCCAGAAGATCCCCGGGTTATTGGATACTGTATCTGAGAGTGAGGAGGAGCAGGATTCAGATGACAACGACGGGATACCCAGCATCCAGGAGCAGAAGCGTATGCAGAAGGAGAAGAAAGAGAAGGAGGCGAAAAAGCAGGATGATGACGACTTTGAGGTCGTCAAGGAACACGACTCCGACGACGACTGGGAGGAGAAGGAGAAGAAGAGCAAGGACGGCAGGCCTAGTAAGTATTGCCACTTCTGAGAGCAAAGGAACTAAGCTAACAAGACCTCAGATATTGATATCATTACCGCCGAAGCTATGACCCTGGCGCATCAGCTTGCAACAGGCGAAAAGACAAAGGCCGACCTGATTGACGAAGGCTACAACAAATACGCCTTCAAGCAGAAAGAGGGCCTTCCCGACTGGTTCTTGGAGGACGAGGCCAAGCACGACAAGCCAATCAAGCCAATTACCAAGGAAGCGGCGCAAGCCATCAAGGAGAAGCTCCGGGCGCTCAACGCTCGGCCTATCAAGAAAGTTGCGGAAGCGCGTGCTCGCCGCAAGCTCAGGCAGGCGAAGAAGCTGGAGAAGCTCAAGAAGAAGGCGGATCTATTGGTGGACGAGGAGGGCATGTCGGAGAAGGAGAAGGCGACAACCATCGCCAAGATGTTGTCTGCTGCCGCGCGCAAGAAGCGCAGGCCGCAGGTTAAGGTTGTTAAGGCGACGGGCGCGAATAGAGGTATCAAGGGCAGGCCGAAGGGTGTTAAGGGCAGGTATAAGATGGTTGATGGTAGGATGAAGAAGGAGATGAGGGCGCTGAAGAGATTGGCGAAGAAGAAGAGGTAATAGATTTAGTAAGTATGAGCTGTGTAGGTTTGCCGAAGATGGGTTTGGTTGTTTGGCAATATGTATCTCATGTTCCTTGGTGTCTCATGCAGTGGTGTATGATGATTTCTGAGATGAAACGGACCGGACGAATGCGCCCAGTGGGAACAGTGGCCCAGTAAAGTCCATGTCGTACCTGGCTTTATTAGCCAACTTTCTCGCGGCAGCCTTTAACGGGTCTTACCAATAGTTGACGGCAATACACACGCCTTCAGGCCCAGCACTCTGCGAGACCTTATGATACCTGCCCCCATCAGCATCCCTCTCACGACCATATCCAGGACAAGAAATAGACTTACCACATCGCGGGCATATAAAGCATGTCTCCTTTATTCAGCGTAACTCTCATTGGCCTTGCCAACCTCGAATACTTCGTCGCATTTACCTCTGGTTTATCCGGATCCCATGTTGCAAACGGCACGGGTTCATCCCCCTCACCAATATCCTTATCCAGCACCAGCTCCAACTTCCCATCATTTTCCCTCCTCCGATAGCGAGCTGGTCGAAGTGGCTGCTCATTCACGCATGCTGCATCCCACGGCGGGAGCAGCACAAAATGTTTTTCCCCTGCCACCTGGACGTATACGTTCTCGTAGTTGTCGCGGTGCAGGGCCGTCACGGATTTAGAGGTTCCGATCCAGAGGTTCACTGCATCCGGTCCCAGTTTGGGTTCATCCTCATAGTCACTACCCCAGCTGGAGCTGAGATCTCGGGCTGGTTTTGGGCACAATGCGATTCGGGCCCAGGGGATTTGAGTCGGGACGTGGTTGAGGGAGAAAAGAGGTGCGAATTCGCCCGAGCGGAGGTTGTCGTTTTGAGTCTGCGAGTAGAGAATTTCTTGGCCTTTGGAGGGGGCAAGTTCTTGGGCTGTTACACGGGAGAGGAAGTGAGTGAAGGGTTGCAATTCGTAATGCGGCTTGGCAAAAACTAGAGTTGGAGGAGAGGAGGAGTTGGGGGGTGTGTAGGGAGTTGGGGCATCGGCATTGCTGAGATATTTTTGATCGTAAGGTCAGCTTTTTTTTTGGAAAACATTTAGTATTTTGGAATCATTTGGTAAAAGTTAGACGTGAGTCGGGGGTAACGACTGAGGTCCCTGGCACCATGAGGGGTGAGATGTCATACCCATATGGCGTAACAGCAACATTCACCTCCTGATCCCCCATCACACTCTTCAGGAAATCAAGGGTCCATAACCGCATTGCAGGCCAATCCCTAGCGGCCCCTCGAACAACAAAGGGCGTGTTGCGTGCCACATAACGCATGAACTCGAGAGGGCTGGGTTCTTCGTGTAGTTCTTCGATTATTGAACTGTTGAGTTCATGGTAATTCGTGACGAGCTCAGCGATCGGGTCTTGTGTGGGAGAGGAGTCCATGATGAGAATTTTAGTGGCTCAGGCTCATTGTGTTGGAGAAACGTTGAGATAAATGCGAGGTGATCATACTTGGCAGCTCAATGGCTCGACCGATGATGAGTTCATCATAGTGACTGGTGAGGGGCAGCCGATGAGGGGCTCACACTGTGGTGCACGGACCACATGTCGTTGCGAGCGCTCAGCACTGAGACTTAAGCTCATCTTCAAGCTTTATGACTGATGTTCTAGACAAAAGAAACACTTTAAAACACGGCAATTACGGAATGAGTGAGTACAATCCTATAAGGCTTCATATTCCCTGCGTTTGAACATCTTTGGTAAGGTCGCCACGTGCAAGATCTGATCTCGCATCTGCCTTTGGAGCCGCAATTGCGGCTGAGATTTGAGGTATCCAAAAATGGTTTTAGTGTCATGAGCAATTGAGCCAGCTTGGCTTGGCGGTCCAACATGTTCCTGGACAACTCATGGTTGACATAAAAATCCCTGGGGAAAACTCTTTGTTCAAAAACTAGGTGTGCAAGAAGGAGTCTTTCGACTCGATTCCAGCCGGGGGGCTGTCTGAACCTGCGTTGATGGTGCAGGAAGAAGGGAAGCGATCGTCGAACTCTTCAGCTGCCGCAATCCTTCAGCTGCCAGGGTCCACTTCCCTTAGCCCGCACCCCATACTTGCACAGTGTCAAAAATACTGTTACTGTGCTCTCACCTAGCCTTTGTAGCATCGGCATGACAATCAAATGCCCACATGTCCTGACTAACCCCCTCTTAAGCCAAACACACAGCGCTATAACTTCTTCGAGGGTTTTAGGGCTTTCAATCGCCCCAAAAAACGAGATAGGTCTGCGCGTAGCCCGTCGACTGAAGAGGGTCCACGCTGGTACAGTGCGCGTCAACATGCAGACACTGAACTCCCTGACTTGATAGCTGCGCGTCTTCCTTTTTCTCACTCCACCACTTTCATCCTCCAACGAACACCATCCATCCTGGGCGCTGGCTCGTCATCCCAACGCTGTCCAGTGACCCCAGAAATTGCGAGTCCGACTCCTAGGCCATTGCCGACCGGCTCTCCTATACAGCGAAGTTGTTTTCCGTTTTCTTGGCAACGACTGCGACCGGTCCCGAGCTCTGACGCTGTGCCGTCAAGGCTTTGAGCGAGCATCATCCAAGTACCAAAGGTGCCTACCGACAAGGTATCTCCTCGCCCAACCCTCATCAAAGGCTTTCATTTCGCAGGCTGCCTTTGATTAAGCCGGAGTCTCAATTCAGCCACCGAACAACTCCTATTCAAGCCTAGTCGGCCAGCTTTAACGACAAGATGCCCATTCCAATATAGTTGTTATCATCCATCCACGCTGGCGGATATATATAGCACCTACATCCCCTACTCGTATATATATATATATATATGCCCAGCCCAACTGCACCACCTAACCACTGCTATGCTGTGGTACCTCCTTTACCCCCTACGAGGGTACGTCTTCGTCCTCTTCCTCTTTCCACAAGATCACTAATCTTCTCAGGACCACGGAGCCCCCATATCTCTCCCCATCTCATCCGCTGCGGAGAGCCTTCACCCGCTATGCCACATGGATTGCAGGCCATGTGCAGTCCATTTTGCCTTTAAGCGGCGCCGTCATCTTCTTCTTTCTGTACCTTTCACTCTTCCTCTACACCGTTGATCCCAACCTCAATCCCGGCCGAGCACGCCTGCCCCGGCATGCCTGGACGGACACTCAGCCATTGGGCGACAGCGCTGCTGTCCAGCCCGACATCATCATGCGTCCGGTCTGGGTTCATGGTGACTACATGAAGGCTCTTGAACGTGATGTGCTATTGGTTGCCTTCGAGCTGCAGGAGAAGCTCCTTGCCAAGGTGAATGATCAGCCAAGCAATGCCTGGTTCATTCACTCGCCATTTAATTACTGGGGTTCTGCCGACAAAATATCCTCGGACGCCGACATCATCGCGACTGTCAATGGCCGAAACTCTACCGTTGCTATGGCCAAAACCCTGCGCCACTCAACTATTTTCAGTGACACCCGCGTGGAAAATGGCCGTCTGGTTGCTGCTGACGCTCTAGTCATCACGCTTGTCCATCGCCGTGACTCTGTTGTGGGCCAGCTCTGGAAAACCGGTGCCGAGACGTTGGTAGAGCAGGAAGGAAATTGGAAAGTCATCCGTTCCAGCGGCAGCCGGCTTTACGAGTACCAGTTCAGGCCCCTGTCCTGGTCAGACTGGTTGCTCCTGAGCCTGGCTTACGTGCTGATTTTCTCTTACCTTGCCCTCCGCATGTCCAAGCTGAATGCTGTCAAGTCACGGGTCGGCCTGGCGGTCACTGTTCTGACACAGATTATCGCAGCTATTGTCTCCAGCTTCTCTGTCTGCGGCATCTTCAAGCTGGACCTCTCGCGTATCCCGTACTACGCTTACCCTCTTGTCGTGTTGGCCATCAGCATGGAGAACTCTTTCCGGCTGATTAATTCTGTCACGCTGACCTCCTCGGCCATTAGCATTACCGATCGTGTCGGTGAGGGGTTCGGCGCTACGGCTCATGTGGCTATCGTCAACCGAGTTCAGATCTGTGTCATCCTGCTCGTTTCGTCGCGCATCACATCGTCGGGTGTCTCCGCCTTCTGCACATTCGTTGCGATCGCCACCCTTTTCGACTCCTTTTACCTCTCTACCTTCTTACTATCTGTGCTTAGTGTGGATCTCCGACAGTGCGAGCTATTCGAGCTGGAGAAAGCAACACTACTACGCCGCAGCAAGAAGTCTGCGGATAAGCAGCTATGGCTGGACATCTCGCCAACACGCAGTGCAGAGTCGCCTGTCTCTACACGGATCGTCAGCACTGTTGTGATGGTTATTTTCATCCTTATTGCACAGTCGCACTATGGAACCGCGGCTCGCCGTTTCCAATGGCTCCATCATATCTTTCCCTGGGATCGCCAAGACAGCTCTCAGCAATCGTCGTTGACCGATCTTCACCAAGCCAGGAACCCAGCAGACTGGATCTATCTGCAAGACTACGAAACAGCTCGCGACATTCTCGAAGCCATCAAGCCCGGGGCATACAGCTATGTCGCGCGTGTCTATGACCCCATCGTCTTTGTCCTCAAGAATGCCAGCCGCATCCCTGACGCTACGAAGGCGCGATTTTTACCCGCCTTCTACGACTTCTTCACCCACCATGCATCCAGCTTTCTGCTTTGGCTCCTGATCACCATGTACGCATTGCGCTGGTTTACAGATTACCTCATCCAAGACCGGTCCGCAAACAGTGACGATTCAGAACACACAGGCAGTGAGCCTGTGCTGTCGATTCGTTCACTCAACAACGGTCACACACTCGACGTGGCCATGCTGACGGCCTCTTCGGGTGGTCAGCTTGTTTCCGTCGGCCTCGACCGCCTCATTCAGGTGTGGGATCTCCCGTCTGGTACGAGGGCCCGTGTTCTTTCGGACCCGGAAGTCCCACTAGAAAATCCGTTTCCTCTTTCCAACATTGCAGTGGACGATAGGGGGAAGTATCTGGCATTTGTATCATGGCAGCGGGTCTTTCTCTGGGACATAGAACAGCAACAGTGGTGCTGGGCGAGGGATATCAACCTGGGAGGCAGTGGGCACCGACCACAGGCGGTGTTTTTCGTGACAAAACCTCAGGAGACGACACCATGTTTGGTGATTGTTAGACGGAATGGGACAGCCGCGGAGATGCAGCTCGATAGAGATGAGACGAGGGACTTCTTGATTTGCAAGACACCTTTGATGTGGGCTGTTTCGTTTGTGGATAAGAGTAAGTCTTCTACCTCTCCACTCTCTAGATTATTGCTAACAACACAGGTAACCCTTACTTCCCCAATACCCCAACGCTCTCCATCCTGACCGCCTCACGCCGCAATTGCATCCATCTCGTCCGCCAACACGGCCCTGACTGGCTTTCCACCGAGGTCAAACTTGCTGGCGCCGTAACAAGCCGTCCTGAACCCCGAACTCCAGATATTCATTGCATCCTGCCTATCCCGACCCTCGGCATGTACCTCGTCGGCCGGGCACAGTCAGTCGATCTTGTCGACTTGGACTCCGCGACCGTCATACATACGTTCTACGCCCGTGGCGGCACTATGCAGCCCCGAAGTCTCAAGCACGTTGTTGTTTCGGCAAGGGCTGGCTCCCATGGTCAGCCTGTGTTGGTGATGGGCTATGTGAGTGCTGGTAGCGGGGAGCTAATTGTTCAGGTGTATATGCCTGAGCAAGAAAGCATGGAAGAAGGTGGGGTTACGCCTGTAATTGAAGCGGGCCGCGGACACCCTTGGACGAGGGCTAGGGAAATAGTCAAGAGGATCGAGAATCCGGGTGTTTGGGAATTGATGCCTAATGGCGCAGTCGTTGGTGTGAGGAGGACGAAACCGCTCACAACACTACAGTCTGCGTCGTCTACGACGACAACGAGCTCCTTCGCTCAAGGTGCATTCTCAACCTTGCGCCGGCGTGCCGGAGGGGCTCCTATAACCAGTCTTGCCCTCCCTAAACCCGCTCCTTATACAGAAAATACCAGCAGCTCAGACTGGGAAGCTTACACCTACCTTTTCAACCGGCCCGACGGAAAACCCGATTTCACAACGCGCGACCTCGCCGATGAAGACGAAGACTCTGATACCACACCCCGAGCAGGCAATACCCCACAACATTCACCCCTTCTCTCAACAAGAAGACGAACTTCTTTCACCCAACAGTTAATGATATCTGAGCTTGGCCCAATCATAAGGTTAAGCGGGGTGAGTGTTGCGGTTGGGTTTGGGAACGTGATCAAGATTGTGAGTGTGGGGAATGAGCATTTTGATGCAGCTACCGGAGTCGGTGTGGGGGATCTCACTGCAGAGGGGTTGGTACCGCCGGGGTTAGCTGGGTTGGGTAGGGGCACTGTTAGAAGGAAGAAAGCTGGCGGGCATGGGTACGTGGTTAGAGGAGGGAGACCACCGCCTGGAGGGGGTTCAGGGATAGGGGTTGGGGGTGAGGGGTGAGGATTGGATTTGATGTTTATGTGATATTGTGTACTGGGATTATCTGATTAGGGATAAAGGAATGTCAAGGTAGAGGTTGTGTGACATTTTGGAGAGTATTGAAGATAGGTTTGGGGGGAAAACAAACGGATAGAGGGCACTTTTCAAGAGGTTTTTCCAAGTGAGCAAGTCGGGTTAGGTATGGCATATACATGTGAAGCATACCACACATGCCGAGCCAAGCCTGTGATATTGAAGTGTGTTATATGTGGCTAAGTTGTCTGTGACGATTAAACTTGTCACTTCAGCATATTCATGGGCCAAGAAGGCTTCAGTGCTCCGTTGCGCATAGACCCATTGTGATGAGTCCTCAGCCAAGGCGACCTCTTGTAACCTGCTATCTAATGACTTTGACGTGAGCTCCGATTACACCCAGTGACACGTATGTCGACCTACTTGAACGCCTATCAAGAGTTCTATTACTAAGGGCATCTCAGTGGCAGTTCATTCCCCATTGTGACACAAGTTATCTCTGCTCCCACTGTCCCAAAAATCTTCAAGGAGTTTAACTCTTCCTCCGGGAGAGGCAGTTTCAAATATATCAACCTCCACAGGAAACAAAGCACATGCCCGAAACTTTTTCCCACTTTCCGCCTCGTATCTAAACATAGCCAAACCTTAGGACAGCGTCTTCTGCACCCAACTGGACGGTTGGCCACGGCAATCGGCATACAAAGTACGGAGCGTGCAACCCGGGTTACCTCCCCGCGACCTTTCCCAGCATTCCCGATACTTGCCCGTTTTATGATCACGGGTGATTGCTTCATCTGTGTATACGCCGTGCGGGTGCAACCGACAGACCACACAATGCGATGTGCAACGCATGGCATTGCAGCTCGAGTCTGCAACGGGCCGGGTCATGGACATTCGTGTAGGTGGGCAGATGCGGTGGAGTATGCCACTTATTCTGGAGGACAGAATTTAGGACACATTAAAGGGCTTCAGAGTATTGTGATACAAGAGGGGCAACTGTGTTCGGGATATAGGGCTGAGGTAAGTACGGGAGAATCGATCTCGTGGATAGACCCAGAGAGGAGCTGGAATGAGGCTGTGGGACAAAATTGCTCAGACTAAGCTGTCGCATGAAGGCTGCCTCTGAACCAAGCCAAACCAAACCAGACCACTGTACCATCAACCGGTAGGTATCATCGCGCCTTCCATCAGCCAGCACCAAGCAGCGCATGAAAAACGCCAAAAAAAGCCAGGGCTAATTGTTTTTTTTTTCTCTTCTTTTCTAACAACCAGGATGCGCCAGCTTCTGCTCTTCACCGCCAATTCAAGCCATTGTTTCTCTCATGCCGTGTCACAAAGATGCAGAAAAGGTGGCATTTTCTCAGACGCGTACAGAAATGACGCTGGTGGTCGCTGTTGTGAGCTGAGTTGAAAGGGGAGGTGGTCGCATGGCCCAAGACCAGCCAGGCCGAGCAGGTTTGTGTAAGGGCGTTGCTGATGTCCAGGTCGTGAGTGGTAACGGAGGTCCCTGGAAGCACGAGCCAGTTGGGTCAGTCTCCGGCTGAGGTGGAGAAAGCGCCCCGGAGCTTGGGCCACCTGGCCATAAATGGACCCGGTGTGGGTTGCGGGATGGGTCTTGGCATTAATGGGATTTGTATGTGACATTTCCGGGTTTTTGATGTGGGACCGTGCGTGGCACCGTCGGGTTTGGGATGAAACGCAGACCTGAGCATTGTCTGTGTACTCGGTGATGTTACCCAAAGTTACGAAAGCCGATCACCTTGTTCAAACTCTAAATTTAAGCAGGCTCAATCTTTTTCGACATTAGACTCGAGATCGTTTGCAGGCAGCGAGACCGTCTGATGCTTGCAAACAGACTCCAGCCCTAAGCTGGCCCGTGCATTGTAATTCCCGAGATCGTATTAGCTAAGCAAGGATCCCTGAGCTGATGCATGGCTGATCTCGGCAACCGGAGCGTCAAGCCACCCCGTTCTTGGCCTGATGTTGTCGATGCTTCAGCCCTCTTCTTTGCCCTCAAACCCGCCTCAAAGTTATCTTTGCATCAGCCAACTTTTTGTCGCTCATTCGCAGCCTTATGCAGGGCTAAGATGGTGTGGTTCCATTGAGCCGAATCTGAGCTGCCTCATGATGCGCGATCAGCCACGGCCGGGACGAGAGTGAGGTCAATTGATGCCCGGGCTAGTTGGTCTCGGCGAGGAGAGAGCGTGGGTGTGATCGTGGGCGTGGGCGCGAGCGACGTGGACAACTCACCTTGCAGCTCCCGTCTGCAGTTCAAGTGCTCTCCGCGTCGGGCAGTCAGAGAGAGAAACGGGACCCGTCGGCAGCCCAGATGTCTCGTCGCGCGTTTCGTTTGTTTGGTCTTTCGGTTTTATTCATTCTTTGTCCCGCGGCCTCATCAGCCCTCCTCTCAGCTTCGTGTTGCTGAGTTGGCCCAGCGTCTCATCAAAGACTTTCGAATCGCAACCGCAACAGCCTTGCCGCGTCCACGCTGCTGGGCTGCATTCAGTCGGTGCCAGTCGTTCGTTCGTGCATTACACTAGGCTTGCCGAAGCTGTCCGCTGCAGATCAATCGATCGATCGATCGTCGAGCGCATCACGCTCTTGAAGAACCTTCTTCTGGAGACACTCGTCTGTGCTTTGCCCCAAGTCGAGTGAACAGTGCATACCCGACGCATCCCGCAGCAAAGTCGCATCCTCGCTCCTCTTGGTTCGATCGAGATCTCACGGCACCCCGGCTTTCGGCTCCGGTCCACATCAGGTCAAGGGTCGCCAATTGACCCACGCTGGGCTCCATCAGACCCATCCTAGGTTGCGGCTGGGGGTGCGCTGGCGTCTATTTCCTGGCGTCCCCTGGGTCCTGCCTGTCACAGCTTTCGCTTTTGCGACTGGACGTCGGCTCCACCGCGAAGATCATCAGCTTCGCGCGCACAAGAACCTGCCGCCAGTCCCAATCATCCGCGTCGCCAGACACTGCACATTGCAAATTCCCATACCCAAAAAAAAAAAAAAA